TAAGTTAAGTGGGTCGACTTTTATTGGGAAAAATAGATGAAATTGTAATTTACGACAACGCGCTGGTAAACAGCAGAACTAACCATGACTATTCTGGGCAACGCTGATTCCTTTCCGGCAAAAGATATAGTATCAAATTATAGTTAATATACAGGAGTTTAAAAGATTTAGTTTCAAATTAAATTATAGTTAATATACAGGAGTTGAAAAGATATAGTTTCAAATTATAGTTAATATACAGGAGTTAAAAAGATATAGTTTCAAATTATAGTTAATATACAGGGGTTGAAAAGATATAGTTTCAAATTATAGTTAATATACAGGAGTTGAAAAGATAAAGTTTCAAATTAAAGTTAATATACAGGAGTTGAAAATATATAGTTTCAAGTTATAGTTAATATTCGGGGGTTGAAAAGATATAGTTTTAAATTATAGTTAATATACAGGAGTTGAAAATATATAGTTTCAAATTAAAGTTAATATACAGGAGTTGAAAAGATATAGTTTTAAATTAAAGTTAATATACAGGAGTTAAAAAGATATAGTTTCAAATTAAAGTTAATATACAGGAGTTGAAAATATATAGTTTCAAATTATAGTTAATATACAGGAGTTGAAAAGATATAGTTTTAAATTAAAGTTAATATACAGGAGTTGAAATATATAGTTTTAAATTATAGTTAATATACAGGAGTTGAAAAGATATAATTTCAAATTATAGTTAATATACAGGAGTTGAAAATATATAGTTTCAAATAATAGTTAATATACAGGAGTTAAAAATATATAGTTTCAAATTATAGTTAATATACAGGAGTTGAAAAGTGAAGAATGAATCGGTTTCTTTGACTGCCCTGAAACTAGAAAACTTTAAGAGAAAATTAAATTTCACGTTTTCATCAATATTTAATAGGTTAACCTTCGCTCTTTTCACTTCTTTGCTCCACAGTGCTTATTCGAGGAAGGATAACTTACATTTAAATAGTTTTGAAGTTAAGTGTTGTATAGTACAGTATAGAGTCAAATAACTAGTTAGTTAGCTTTAAGAAATCCATTTTCTATTTTCCATCATTTAAAACATTTTTGTTCTAGTAAAAATATTAAGCACATACATGAAACCACCCTGTCTGCATTTTGTACATGCAACCATGCTGCATGGGTTGACTACACACCTGTTAGCCTAGATCCGGTACAAGTGAATGCATATCAAAGATAATATATAGATATTCCCTGATATAGATACGAGCTTGAATATGAGAGACTGTATAGTATAATTCTGAGGTCTTGGGAGAAATTAAAAGCACTATCTCTGTCGTACTCAAGGCATTTTATCCTCTGGATTGTTGCTGATATATCACTTCGTTTATGCGTGATAACACCAAATGTGTATACTGTGTACTATAGTATCAACAATGAATATACTGCAAATTGTACTGAATGAAACAAGTTAATGAATGCAAATTAAACAAAGGTAGAAATTTGACTAGACAAAGTTAAAATGTGCAAGTTGTACTGAATGGCATACGTTAATTAATGCAACTTTTAAAAAATAGTTTTTATAGTTACATCCCTGTTTTAAAGTTCTTAACTAACTGTATATGTTTATACAACACAAATGCGTATTTCCTACAGATGGCAGCAGGTGGAGAAAGAAAAATAGAAATTAATCAAGTTGCTGTAGATGTCTCTTGTTTCACTTGATCTCAGAGGTACAAATTTGAGTTGTCTGCTACAAGCAATTTAGGCAGAATGGTTTCTACCTGCCAGCGTATCTATATATGTATTATCTTAGATGCTTATACTGTACAGTGTACAAAAAAAATCAATGAAATATTCTGGTCATAGGAAACTATTATGTCAATTATCAAAATTTAATGCTTTTAACCTCCTCGGATACTAAACGAACACTTATGTATCTATTATTGTTTATAAATTTCGCCCAGAGAGAACTGGTTTAAATATGTACGCAAAGTAACCGCAACCGCAACTGCAATTAACTTTTTTTGCATTATAACCTTGGCAAAATGAAGTAGTTCACAGATATCTATATATGTACCTGCAATCAATTTGAATTGCTATTTTTTTTATTTTCCTTGAACTATTTGAAGCTCAGTTAAATTAAAGCCTGCAGAGTTGATTAAAATTACTGGAACCAATGTTATAGATAAACTTGATTTCGTCCCTTTAACCAATACTGATTCAGACTTAGAGTAAACAAGGTTTTACAGAAATATTTTATAGAAAATCAATACAATTGGTGTACACCAGATATATACCAGAAATACACCAGATATATATCAGATATATTAGATATACATCAGATATAGACCAGATATATACCAGATATACACCAGATAAAAACCAGATATACAGCAGATATACACTAGACATACACGAGATATAAACCAGATATACACAATATATAAACCAAATATACACCAGACATACACCAGATATACACCAGATATACACCAGATATATAAGAGATATACACCAGATATATACCTTGCAGATATACACCAGACCAGATATATACCAGATATACACCAGATATCCACCAGATGTATATACACCAGATAAATAACAGATATATACAGAATTTACATCAGAAAAACATAGGATATACATTATACACCAGATTTACACCAGGTAAATACCAGATTAGCATGGAAACCCAGATTTGCCAGAAATATTCTATTTCAAAGTCAACGTATACCAGAGATATACAATGTTAAATACCAAATTAGGACAACCTACACGATAAGAAATAAATTATACATAAAACACGCGTAATTTATACATATGCTTATAAACTTACTTACGTGATAATTATGTAACGGAATATTTTAACTACAAAACACATATTAGAATGTTGTCCCATTTTGTATTTGGACCAAATACCGTCGTTAAAGTTAGTTTTTATATCTCTTATTTGATGAATTTTTATGAACCCAACGTTTCTGAAAACAGTGTTTCAAGGACGGATAAATTTGAGAATTAAAATGTATTTTATGCTTGCTATTAAAGTGATTGGTCTGTAGGGGACTCTTGAATGTATATAACCGTTGTATTATACAAAATACAATTAGTTGAATACTATTATAAGATCGCAGTCAGCAATAAAATATTTTGTTTTTGAGTTGCTAGATAATAATATCGCAACTTTAATTAAATGTCATATTTAGCCGATGAGTTATTTTAATGCGCTAGAGTAGAAAAATATTCAACAATAAACTAAATGCAAGTTATTAAAGGTACAAAATTTAACAAATAATCTACATACAGTGTTACTCGCAAAGGACGAGGCTTCAGAGACGACTATAGAAAAATTTACACTGTCTGTTTCCTTACATCTATGATTCCTGCAACTCTAAACTCGATTTTTTCTTTGCCAAAGCTTTAAATAAGCCATTAAGACATTATTCAGGACCTTATTAACCTTGAAATTGTCATATATTTAAAGAATTTCAAGTCGTATTTAAAGTTCCATCCTTTATAAGTAGCCCTGTAGAATCACTAAATAGAAAAAAAAACATTGTTTAAAATGTTTTTGATCTATATTTTAACATTTAAATGTTTTAAGTGCTTATTAATTTATTTATCAGAACTCAAAACTTTATCATAATTATATATTATTACAAATCTACATCATTATCTTCATCTATGTTTTTACATTAAAATATTTTCAACGCTTTATTTTTTTAATATCATAACTCAAAATCAAATCATATTTATGTCATTAGACTTTGTAAATAAAGTTTGAAATTAGGTTTGCCCCCCCCCCCCCCACATCCCTCCTGTCCCAGTTCTCTCATGATCCACTGAGTCTCCTCCCTGGGTTAGAAGATTACTCCCCGCCATGAGGATTATCCCTCGTCAAATCTTCTGTAACCGTCCTCTGGAGGCTAAAACCAGGTTAAAGACTTAACTAGAGGTTTAAAGAGGTTTTAGGCGTGGGACAGTTTAGCCTCTCACTCACGGTTCAACCTCGACTCAGGGAGAAGGTAGAACAATACAACCATTTGAAAATATCAAAATAATGTTTTTAGTTTTGCCATTTTGGGAACAAAATATCTGCTAACATGTTTTATTGTAAAACTATATCTTTTTTGCTGAAGGTATCCACGTCGGAAACGATCGTCCCCCCCACCCCCCTCCACCGCAGGGGGGAGGGCAAAATTATGAGATATATCAAACAAGGAAAAAGTGGTTAAAGATAAAGGAAATGAGTGAAGAGGCAAGCTAAGAAAAAAAGAAAAAGGGAGGGGAAAAACCCAGTTTTTTGGTTGTGTAAAAATTAATGAAAAATGTGTTTATCTATTTTGATAACTGATAAACACACCACTGATATTGATAAATATCCTTATGTTCAAAGTGCAAGCTTTTCCTCGAAAATAATATTGAAAATAATCAATCGTTATCGATAAGATACTACAAAACATCTTGATAGCATGTACCCTAAGCTAAGCTTTTGGTTGGTACTGAAGAGATATGCGGTACAATTACCGCAGAAATAGTGGGTTTTAGTAGAGAGTGCACGGAGTGGGATATTTTAGATATTATACATATATCTGTAAAATATTGTGACTGGATCGGTTTACAAATGCTGTGAATAAACTGAATAATTGTATAACAAGGAAATATTGTTGTCAAACTGGTTTAAATATTGTATATCTAGAAAATATTGTAGTTAAACAGGTTTAAATATTTATGTCTAGATAGTATTGTGGTTAAACTGGTTTAAATATTTATGTATAGATAGTATTATAGTTAAACTGGTTTAAATATTTATGTCTAGATAGTATTGTAGTTAAACAGGTTTAAATATTTATGTATAGATAGTATTGTGGTTAAACTGGTTTAAATATTTATGTATAGATAGTATTGTGGTTAAACAGGTTTAAATATTTATGTATAGATAGTGTTGTGGTTAAACTGGTTTAAATATTGAATATCTTGGAAATGTTGTGGTTAAACTGGTTTTAATATTGTATATCTAGGAGATGTTGTGGTTTGTAGTAGTGGTAGGACTGGTTGATGTGGTACGTTGTAATTGGGAGAACTGGTGGACCTACGATGGTATATCTGGACCAGCATATTGGGGACTAATCAATCCTGCATGGACCATGTGTAACAAGGTTGGTCCCGATCCTGACTAGTATTTTTATGAGATTTGTACAATTTATAAAGATTTCGTGTTGATAGTGATAGTGAAAGTTAAAAATGAACATTAACAATATTAAATACACTAATTAGTTTTGATGTATAATGTTTTCAATTAAAAACATGACAATTAAGAAAATTTAGATTTTTGTTCCATTCTTAGCAGGAAAAGTGTGGTAGCAGTTTTTAACAAGTTTATTAAATATCTCTGTATCTTTAGTCATTGATGGCAGTACAACATTTTTGCTTGTGTCAAACGTGCATGCATATATACACTTAGGAAAATTTTTGGCTAAATAAGGATTAAGGATGAACTTGCAAACCTTACTTTAAGAAACCGTTTTCGTAATTTCAAGTGACCCTTCATGTAAAGAGGGGCATGCCCGATTAACAACGGAGATTTTAAATCTTTTATTGGATCAACAATGTGAAAGATATCGTCGTTATTCTAGCTTTATATCTGACAAGATCTTCCATTGTTTCGTTGGAGCAGAAATGCGTAAATCATATTTACAATGAAACTACATTTGAAAAATTATCAATGTATGGATATCTTTTGCATGCTTGGTAAAACAAAGCTTTCAAGGGTACTGTTGTGAATGCAGTAAACTTGAAATTACATTTACTTATATTGTAGAAGCCTGACTTTTAGTTATAAGAAAATATGATTTTGTCCTAAATGTTAAAATTAGAATTGAGTTTGCATAAATGCGCAAACAGTTTCACTGATATTTCGCAAACTTGTTCAATCTCGGATTTTACACTAGTCATTCTTAGTATGTTAAGTGAGTAACATATGAATAAATAAACTTGTGAAAATATGTTATCATTCTGAGTTATTGAGACTTCTACAATATCATACATTAGATTACAGATTAATTAGAACAGTTCCGTAAATATACATAGTTCCTGACTATGAAAAGAGATATAAATTAAGATCTGCTGTCTTGACACTTCATAATACAAGAGAAAAGTCCAGCTCAGCAGCTTTCAAGAGTAGAGAGTAGGCAACTAACATCTTTCTTTTCATAATGATAAACTTCAGTGTGTCTTAAAGTTAAACAATTTGGAGTTTCAGTTTTTAAATTAACAATCATCATAAAATGGTTGCATGTGAGTTCATTGTTGTAACTTAAGTTTCATTATTGTATATCTTAATATGTCAAGGTGTAATGGATTTATTAGGCGGATATAATACAGTAATCGGCTTGTAATTATATCCATACAATGAAGACGACTTTTCTAGTTTTTTTCTTTAAATTTTAAATTTACAAGTTAAGAAAAAATCTGTTAATTGTCAGTTTTGTCTTTATATGTATTAATGCTGTTTGGAAGCTTAGTAAAAATCAAAAATTTTAATCGAAATTCTTCTTGTCCCACATCATATCAGATCGTCAATTGGTCTAAATTACGATTTTCGGGACTAATCAGAAAAATTTAAAAGAATGAATCGTTTTGAAAAATTGAATAAGGCTAATATAAGAATTTTTTTGCGGAAAATACTAGTTTTTCGAGTATTATGGTTGTATTTTGGCGTTAAAACTTGGAGAGAAATTCAATGCACATCATGTTTGCAGGGAAGACGACAATCACCTATAGACCTGGACCCAGCCTTTCTCAACTATGATTGTAAGCTGGAGAATATGAGCGTGGACAAGCAGAGTGTGAGTGCCCGAATCACTAACACCGGGCAGTCCCTTGTTCTACGTGTAGAGGACGGTCAGCTCGCAATAAATATTACTGGAGGTCCACTAGCATACAAATATCAGTTTCAGGTTATACTTTAATTATTTTAGATAGTTCTTCACCTACGGGGTTACCCAACAAAATATAAGACGACTGCACAGAATTAAAATGGTACTTTTCTTATATTTAGGATTCCCCTGCAAATGTAGATTTTTTTTGGCAACTCTTTAATACAAGGCCATACATAAACTATATTTATGACAGAATACCAAGAAAGCGTAAGACATTAAGAGTTTTAGCCTATCAGGTAGTTTTTACAGTTTCATAACCCGTGGGAAACTTATTAGAAGATTTAATTGATTTTTCTCCTTGTAACTGGGTTGTAAACTTGTAACGCAAAAAAAGATATTCTCTATAAACGATTTAAAGAAATTAAGTCTTTGCCACACACTCATATATCTTTGCAACCCGATGTCGTAGACCATTAGAAAACATACATTAGGCAAAAAAGCTTAACTGATGTTGGTTTAGGAGATGTACTTTCACTGGGGAGAACCAGGTCGACCTGGTGCAGAGCATACTGTCAACCATCAACAGTTCCCTGCAGAAATACAGATTTATGGATTCAATACTCAACTCTACTCAAACCTTACAGTAGCAAGGTCAGACATGTTTCCTGGGGAGGGGGGGGGGGATACCTGACAAGATTTTTTTTATTAGTTTTTAGCTGAATATTAGAAAATAATACAACACATCGGAATTTTTCTAACATGGTCCAAGAAGTTACCTGAAAAATGTATTAAAGTCTCCAGTTCCTTGTGGGGTAGCCCTGGGCCTGAACTTCCGTTGATCCACTGGTTTTTCACAGAAAAAAATGTCCAGAACTTTTTCATAAAATCCTTAAAAACTTAAGTTAAAAACGAGTGCTTTATTGTTGTAAACATACACATCTCTAGGACTAAAAGAGTAAAAATGAATTAGTGAGTAAACACCAAAGGTCACTCTTGAAAGTTGACCCAGTCTTGAAAATAAAAAAATGTTCACAGCAGCCTGGATCTATTTTCTTTTCTTTCAATATCTCAGTGGTAAAACTAAACTGCCGAGAACAGTGTCAACTCCGAATCTGTCCAGTATTTGCCAAGTATTCTTTGATAAAGGTACTCAGCCAAATTATATAATTAATGGAGAAGAAACAAGGATAAAACCTCAAAGTGTAATATTCTCCAAATAAAAGAGAGAAATATTCTTCAGTCACTTAATATCTCACAATCTTTTATTAAAATCTTCAATGTCTATTTAGAGAAAAAGCCATATTGGTCAAAATTAAGTCGAAAGTATAAAAGCTGTATCCCTTTTCCTCTACTAAATAAAAAAAAAAGATTCTTATATCCCTCTAATATTTAGATTTGTGTTTAGCCCTGTAAAAATAAAGAATTACTTGAGATTACGTACACACATATGTATTAAGGTTCATAAAAACCCTTTCATATTTCTACAGTTTTAAACTTATTTTGTAAGCACTATAAGTAAAAATTGTTAAAGAGCTTAACATTGACATTTCACATAATGTGAGGAAAATAAATCAGTTTTTGATAATTAGCATTTCAGTTTAAAAAATATAAGTAAAAATTGCATGTCCATTCTTTGAAAATCTAATAAAATCTAAACCCATTTAAGAGATTATGTTAACTTCCTTTAATGAAAGTATCTGTGGGTTTGCTAGGGAGTTTCCTGGCGGTGTGGTGGCAATCTCTGTTCTTGTGAAGATAAAGGATTCTCCACTGAAGAAAGAAACAAGTCTAGCACAGATCATTTCTCATCTTCCAGAGGTAACATCTGTCAAACTAAGGGAACTTCAGTCACTTACATTCATTTATCTTTAGAGTTCATTGTGATTAGATGGTCTCAAGCTTTCAAGCAAAAATCAATGAGAATTTTTCCAATTAATTCTTAAAAACCAAAGCTAACAAGTGCTTTATATTGCTAAAATATAAACAGGGCAACAGAACAGCATAAGTGAGTTAAAACGGTAAAATCAAAATCCAAGGCAATTCACACATCAAAGTAAACTCATGTCTTTAAACAGTATGTAAGCAGGCTGCATCTATGTGAGTTTAATGATAATACCTAAATCAGAAATGTTTACCTTTTAATGCGGACTTATCGTATCCATATGGATTTCTAACAACAATTTTTTATGTAAGAATGTTTTTGTTTAAGAATATGCTTAAAAAATTCCTAAAATCTTTTGAATATTATTGAAATGACAACATTGTGAAATATCTATTAGACCATTAGTCTATTAGTTCTAGGAATTTTGATTGTTGCTCAGTTATTGTTTTTTTTTGTGAATTTTGAAAAAAAAATTTAAGGCTTTTTTTCAATTCTTACCATCCATGAACCTTCCCTGGGATCATGTCATGTAGGCCTGATCAGTTTAGCTGTTTTGATATTTATCGGTCACAAACAAACAAACAAACAAAGTATACGATGAGTCTTTTCCTTAAACTAATTGATTTGAATGATGAAAACATAATTAAAAAATACAATAAAACGATGGCAAAATTTTTACTTTTAAATGTTAACTTCTGTTGAATCCCGTTTCCCCCTTCTTCCTGTGTTAACCCCATATTCATGTTCTACCTGTGTTAACCCTATATCCATGTTCTACCTGTGTAAACCCTATATCCATGTTCTACCTGTGTTAACCCTATATCCATGTTCTACCTGTGTTAACCCTATATCCATGTTCTACCTGTGTAAACCTTATATCCATGTTCTACCTGTTTAAACCCTATATCCATGTTCTACCTGTGTTAACCCTATATCCATGTTCTACCTGTGTAAACCCTATATCCATGTTCTACCTGTGTAAACCCTATATCCATGTTCTACCTGTGTAAACCCTATATCCATGTTCTACCTGTGTTAAACCTATATCCATGTTCTACCTCTGTTAACCCTATATCCATGTTCTACCTGTGTTAACCCTATATCAATGTTCTACCTGTGTTAACCCTATATCCATGTTCTACCTGTGTTAACCCTATATCCATGTTCTACCTGTGTTAACCCTATATCCATGTTTTCCAACCTGTGTAACCCCTATATCCATGTTCTACCTGTGTTAACTCTATATCCATGTTCTACCTGTGTAAACCTTATATCCATGTTCTACCTGTGTTAACCCTATATCCATATTCTACCTGTGTTAACCCTATATCCATGTTCTACCTGTGTTAACCCTATATCCATATACTACCTGTGTTAACCCCATATCCATGTTTTCGATGCCTATCTGCCTGCTGTAGGCAAAAAAGATACTTAAACGAATGAAAAAGGTTTTTTTAGACAGAAATATTGGGTAAAATTTCTTAAAGGACTTTAAAATTTACTCAAAAAAGATATTGATAAACTGTGTAGGTAACTTACAGAGGGGGAAGCAGCAGGGTAGGATTTATATCCCTGGCAGATATACTTCCCAGAACAGATGATTTTATCACGTATGAGGTAAAAACTAATCTTAATTAATAGTGGGTTGTTTTGGATGAAAAAAAATATCATCTAAGCTTAGTATTATAACATTAAAAAGTTTTCAGAAATTGCTGGAATTAATGTGGAAATTGATCATTGTACAGTACTTTATAGGGTTCCACAACATTCCCTGGGTGCTGGGAGACTGTCACGTGGATAGTGTTCAACAAACCGGTTTATATCTCACAACATGATATTGACGCTTTTAGAAGGTAACACAACAAGTGCAGCATTTGTTAGTACTACATACAAATAATACAAACTGGATATTTAAAGTTGCCAATATGCAGAACCAACTGAAATTAATGCAAACATTTTAGGAACGTTAAAACCTTTTTATAATAAGTTATCTTAAAATATGAATTATGAATTCTTAAAAACATTACAATTTACTTTTAATAAGACATGATAAAAACATATTTTTTTTGCAAACTTTTCCAGTAGTTCCTTCAATATATATTTAGGTTAAAACAAGGAGATCGACATCATGAAAAGGCGCCTCTTGGAAACAATCTTCGACCCCAGCAACCTTTAAACAATAGAGCTCTTAGAACCAATATAGCATTGCCAGCACAGAAGGTAATTCTTTACAGTAGGGTGTACAAGGTCAATAAAGATCAATGAATCTAATCCAATAGTTTTCAACAAATGGTCCGTTGTTATTGGGGATGCAAAAACTGATTTTTCAAAGGGAAAATATAAACAAATAAGCCCTCTTATTTGATTTGATGATCCTACACTAACCTGTTCAAGATTTGTTGTGATTAGGATGTACAAGGCGAGTGCAGTGACCCCTCTACCCTGCTGACTTACCAACAGAACAGCTGGTTAAATACAGTGGTTAGTCCAGCTAACTAGACCCCTCTACCCTGCTCACCTACCAACAGAACAGCTGGTTAAATACAGTGGTTAGTCCAGCTAACTAGACCTCTCTACCGAGCCCACCTACCTACAGAACAGCTGGTTAAATACAATGGTTAGTCCAGCTAACTAAGCAGCAGAACAGCTGGTTAAAAACAGTGGTTAGTCCAGCTAACTATCAACTATTAGGCATATGGAAATAATGTCCTAAAAAATCCCTGATTTAATCCTGCGCGCTTGAGTAAAAACAACATAGTTTAACAAGTCCTTATTCTCAAAGAAAGTCTACTTGCTGAACTTTGAACTAGAACAAACAACAAGTCCAACATCTAGCTAATCAGCAATCAGCAATAAAAATATTCCTTTTTTTCGAAATTCGAAATGCATACAGTGATAACCAGAAAACTTTAAAATAGGAAGACGACTTTGTGGCAATACTCAATTTTATGTTTTACCAAGATGAAAATTGCTGTGTCCCACGCTCATTGGACCATTTAAAGTTATTTCTTAATTATAAAAGTCGTCTTCCTAATACAGAGTTTTCTGGTTATTACTGTAATAAAACATGTGATTTAAACAAATTTTGAATAAAAAATGCGAAAAACTTTAATACACTTTTTTCAATGTGCTTTTTAAAATCTCAAAACTATTTTCCATTTAAAGATATTTACGGGTGCGCATGATAAGGCATAAACAATAATCAAATATGAAATTAAATTTTTTTAAAGTTTCTAAAATATTCTTTTGAAACCCTCCTCTTGTTTGAAAATGTAAAAAATGTGTATCCCTGAATGAAGACAAAGAATATATAAATAGATAGAAGAGAAATATAGGTTCTAGAAACTTGAAATTGAGATTGACACCTTTATCTAATTTCAGAATCAAAGCATCGATGCGAGGAATAACTTTTGTTTTGTCAGATCGACATTGGATAGATAAATAACTAGATAGACAGATATAGATATTGAAATTTTAGGGGCAATATCGATTCATTTTAACCCCATCCCATTTAAACCACGATCAACGTTAATTATTGGACATGATACCCCCAGACTGGGTAAATGTTTGTGTGTAGCGTGTGTGTCTGTTAACCGTCAGGTTCAGATTTAGGTTTGGTTTATTATTTCCTACTGCCAACTCCACAGTAGGAACTCTAGGACTGGAGAAATACACTGCCAGGAAAAACAAAATCTTTCCACAAACAGATATTAGAGACACTTTATAGATAGATAGATAGATAGAGAGATAGAGACAGATGTATATTAAATATGGGTCACATATGATTCCAGCATTGATTTAGAGCTATGTTAACCAGATAGATGGATACTGGATAGTTCGAAAAAAGATAATTCAGAATTATATAATGTATGTTTGAAAACAACTTTTATTTTTATTTTGCAGTAACACAGGTTTAAGTTAATTTAAAAATAAAACTAAGATACAGAAGATTTTCTGGTAATAATATGCTTCGGTTTATTAAACTTTAGGGTCTTTGGACTTTCAGAAGGTTTCACAAAATCTAAGAAGGTTAAAAAATCTAAAAATTGTTTATTCTAAACATTTGAGTTTCTTACTCTGTTTTATTTTAACCAAATAAACGATAGTCATTGGTTTTCTTTTTACCTTCTTTTCTCATTGGTAATTATTTTAAAAAGTTTAATATAAGCAAACTTTTACAGAAAACAGTTTTAAGACGATAGTTATTGGTTTTCTTTTTACCTTCTTTTCTCATTGGTAATTATTTTAAAAAGTTTAATATAAGCAAACTTTTACAGAATACAGTTTGAAATGTTGGAAACTCTACAGGAGGGTGAGTAAAAAAAACGATGTTTTTGACAAAACTTTCAAAATTTTTGTTTGCTTCAGATTTTAGGCATAGAATTGTTAAATATGATAAAAAACTAGAATATTTTTGAAACATCGAAAAAAAAGTCCGCAAAGTCAATTCTTTTAAACTGAATTTTTATGAAATTTTGTAAAATAACACATTTTACCAACAATTTAAAAAAAAAATTCTTTTTCAAAAAAATCTTGGCTTCGCGGATGCCTTAAATCCGAAACAAACAAAAATGTTGAACTTTTAATCCAAAACATATCGTTAAAAAAATTTTAGCAGATTTTAACGGGTATGTTATGTACAAACAAAATACGTATTTACATATATTTGTTACATTAATGTTTTGAACCCTTTTAAACCCATACAATCTCTGAACCCTTCTAATTAACTGAACGTTGATGGTATTTATTTTAAAGTTAAACTTCAGCTTTTAATTTATGCCTAGCCTAAAAGGAAATTGTGATTTTATCAAATTAATCTAAAACATGCAATCCTTCTGTACCCCAACAATCTCAGCTCCATGCATTAATTTTCTTTGCTTTAAACATTAAAAATGTCATCCTAATATTCACCGATATTAATTTGTTTCCATTAACGGGGAAGGGCCTTCGTTAGTTGTTGCACAATAACTGAAATTAAATAAACACTAGACTTAAAAAATAAAAAAGACATAAAGCTTAGCTTACATGAAAGTGAAACCAAAGATAATGATAAATATCAATATTTCTTAGATATATTTTAGTATGTAAATATATATATATAAGATATATTGAATATATTGACTGTATGGTACAATGATGAATATTGAGCTGTCTTCTTCTATCCTGATATTGTCAAACCTAGCGTTCATCAATACTCACAATCTTGAACCCACACACACAAACCGAGCAGGGGAAGGCAGGCGTCCATAAGCCACAACATCTGTCCCTTCTATGCCACATAGTAGCTTTATTGTATTCCGGCAGCCGTAAGCCACAACCATTCGGTCTTCCATGCCACAACATTTGAGTCTTCCGGCAATTATAAATTCAAATGATAAATTTAGTGATTTGAAATTGCGATTTCTAAAATGGAGCCACGTCATGCAAAAGATATATCAAAAGATCTTTATATTTAAGTTTTAAATTTAAATAATGATGATTCTCTTAATGTAAACGGCCAAACTTATTTTTCCCCAGAAATAAGTCCAATTTTTCCTCTAAAATAGCTTATTTAAAAAAAAAATTTATCAGAAAAAATGATGCACCATAAAATACTCTCTACGCCGACAGGGAGTCCATAACCAAAAACGAGAAAATAGAAAAAAATATTTTTTTGTGGAAATCTGTAAGGCTCAGACTTAAATGTTGTGGCATGGAAGACCGAACGGTTGTGGCTTAAGACTGCCTTCTCCTGCTCACACATCTACACTTAAGGAACTGTTTAAAAATTCAGGCAAAGATAGATATGGACACAAATTCGGTTTTAAATATTTAAACATGGTTTTTTAAATCTGAAATTTTTAACATATTTTAAAACTCTTTAAGTTTGAGAATATTACAATGTGGTAAAATTTACTCTGAGACCAAATAAGAAAATAAAGACGATTGGTTAAAAAAACGTTTAAGGATATGTCTTTGTACACTTTTGTACTTTGTACACGCGACGCTGACCTCATTTAATTTTCGAAGTAGAAAATCTACCATTTTCTTCTTTAATTTGTTGAATTATGAAGACCATGATTTGGAGGTTAAAATGAGAAAAACTAATAAAAATGACAATATTAATTTCTGTGTAATGTTTAATATCCCTAATCCTATTGTGTGTGTGTGATAGTGTGTAAAGTTTAATAACAATCATTATATTGGATCTATCTAACACTAGAATCATAATATTCAGGTTTTCAAACTAAATATACTGGAGTTGGATTAAGAAATCACACACAAATATTCCACACTAGCTGAAGGCCCGGCGTTGCCTGTAGAATTTTAAAAACAATTTGGAAAATAATATTTCAAACTTTAAACCTATGTTAACCCAGCAGGAAAAACAATGGGTTTCCTAAAAAATCAGCCAATTTGGACCAGCCGTTTGGCCAGCTATAGCTAACATTGTTGTCGCAAAGGAACAAGATTCTGACGATGAACAGATAGACAAGGTATAATCCACGAATCAAAATCGATAATGCAGAAAACTTTAATGGTTGACAAACATATGTATGTATAAGCGAGGAGCTTTATTATATAGATTTTAGTCTGTAAGAGAATGTTACTCTTACGAAAACGGGAGATATTTAAAAATAATTTAAGCTACGACAAATTCTCTGTAGATGTCTGGTTAAAAACCATTATTATCCTAACATTTCAGTAATTAAAATATGATGTAAAGTTCTAAAAAGTTGGTTAGATTCTTCCCTATCCTATTTTTACACATACATATTTGTTTTGCTTGTCTATCCGTTGGTTCCTTTGTTTGTGTACAATAAACACAAAAACGGCTGAACCGATCGGGCCCATTATTTTGCTGCCATTCGCATGACCTATATATGACTCAAACTTTTATGAGCATCAATAATCTAACGTCTCAAAGGAAGATTTGGGGCAAAATTTATCTGTTTTAAAATGAACGATAAAGAAGGTTTGCAGATAAAATCAGTTACAGGGTGTCCCACGAAACATGGCAGTTAATAAATAGTTTTGAATGTCGTCTTCCATACACTGTATTAGATATTAAAGGTTAAAGTCAAGCCTCAACAGTCAACCGACACATAACTTCAAGGAATTGCATAATTATATCCTGGTAGTTAGATAAATAATTATATTACCTGTATTTTAGATTTTTCGCCAGCGACCGGATTCGAGATCTGGCCATTTTAACCTCCTGGTTGTACTGGATTACTTTATCTTTCTCTACTACATCAGCAGATATAGATTTAATTGGCTCTGGGTCTATAGATATTGGTTCCAAAGACAGAATTGGAACCGGGTGTTTGGCAGCAGCGGAAGAAAGTACTGATGATTCTGATGAAACTGGAAATACCAAAGAAGGGGTTGATGCCTTAGCTGCAGTTATTGTTCTGGAAGAATCCAAAACAGTTGGTTGTACAGAGCTAGTATTTATTGCTGGCTGTAGAGAGGAATCAAATTCAGATTGTAGAACTGAATTAACTGACAAAGGTGAAAATATTACAGGTACAGTAGAGGTAGAATCTGAAGGTTCAGAGAATGACAGATCTTCCCGTGCATCACCTAAATCTTCTGAAGCATTTATATGTTCAGGAGTTTCTATGATCATTGAAGATTCAAGTCTGGAAGCGTCAGAAGTAGAGGTAGCAGTAGCAGCAGCAGCTGCTTGTGCTGTAGATATATCTTCCCTAATCAAGTTAACAGACTGGGGTTTGTCTGAACCTAGTGCTATCAAAGGTGCAGAGTATGGAGTATGTAAAGGTAATGAGACTGTGAAATCTTTATTGTTATCAGATAGACTTGATTTCTCAATTGGCGGAGTAGGGGTTTGAACATCCTCAACATGTCCTTCTTCATCTTCATCCGAAGGAACCTCGTCATCTCCAGATATTCCATCAGGAATCTGAATAAAAACTTAAATTTGTCAACTTAAATCACAGTATTTTTTGGGAAGTGTTATTTTTAATCCAGAATAATTGCCTTGAAAAAAAAGAACAAACAAATTAAAAAAATGTCTTACCATAATAAAAAAGTAATATAATTTTTTACCTAATCGATTACTTACTCTTCTTATTTTCATTCTAATATGAGATAAAGAGAGATAATTACTTAAATTTTACCTCGCTTTCGTCTTGTTTTAATTCTAGTTTGTTCATCCTGTCATTGAGAGAAAACGGGGAAGTGTCTATTCTATTTATCATTAAAAAACCTAAATGTTAAGTATAGTTTAATAATTACAGTTTAAAAGAGATTGGCAACTTGATTCAATTATTGATGAATAGTTACCACCATAGCACAAACAAGTTCCTGTGAAGTTAATAGTCTGAAGACGAATATAAAAAGCGCACCAAGCTCATAAAAATCTTCTTAGAATGGTAAAATTATAGTTAAACTATAAATAAAAAGCTAATGAAAATATTAACAATAAATCAAAGTGGAATACACTAGATAAAGTCAAACCAACTCATGCTAACTAAGCAACCGTTTCAAAACCAGGGATACAGGAACTACTGGAAACCAAGGATACATGGAAACTACTGGAAATCAAGGATACAGGAACTACTATAAACCAGTTATACAAGAATGTACTGGGAACCAGGGATAAAGAAACTAATGAAAACCATGGATACTGGAACTAATGGAAACCAAGGATACATGAACTAACAGAAACCTGGGATACAGGAACTAATGGAAACCAGGGATACAGAAACTACTGGGAACCAAGGATACAGAATCTACTGGAAACCAGGGATACAGGAACTAATGAAAACCATGGATACTGGAACTAATGGAAACCAGGGATACATGAACAAATAGAAACCTGGGATACAGGAACTAATGGAAACCAGGGATACAGGAACTACTGGAAACCAGGGATACAGGAACTACTGGGAACCAGGGATACAGGAACTACTAGAACCAGGTATACAGGAACTACTAGAACCAGGGATAAAGGAACTACAGCAAACCAGGGATACAGAAACTACTGGAAACCAGGGATACAGGAACTACTGGAAACCAAGGATACATGGAAACTACTGGAAATCAGAGATTAGAGTTCTGAAACTATGAACATATACTTATAAATAATTCTTGAACGGAAAAATGCATAATGTAGTTAATACTGTAGTAATCTGTTTGTTTTAAAGTCCGATCATGACGCATGAACTCCATGACCGATTTGCCACTTTTGCGGGAATATTTTTTTATTTGGTATAAAATTGCGAATTTAGAGAGTTGACTTTTAAAGAGAAAACAGTTACCAGGCAATGCTGTGTTCCAAATCTAGTTGATAATAAAACAGGTGAATAGTTTCTGTTTGATGAAAAGATACGATTTATTAACAAAAATTACCCAAAATATCACAATTTAAATTATGTTTAGTTCTTATGTTTTAGTGATGGTTATTATTGAACTATGTGAAGAACAAATACGCAATGAGAATTTAAGGTAATAATTATAAATTGCTTTCATTTACCATAGAGAAATTATCACTGATAAGTGATCAGTGAGTACTGAGTAGTTACAGGTTTAAATAAATTTTTGAACTAGTTTTTAAGACAATTAAGCAAAAATGAGCTATTTGACAATTTATAATAGCTTGAGCATTATTGTGATCTTATTGTAATTGATCCTTATAATAAATAATGCATATTATCAAAATTACTAAAAGGTTTTAATTTATTTTTGAGTCTTAAGCAATTTGAAAAAAAAAAACAAAGCAGACTACGGCATAAATAACCGTACAAACTGTTATTCCTAAAATCTAATAATACTGATTGGTACAAAAATGCGTCAAATATGTAATGCGTAATTCTTTAAGTAAGTAACCACAGTCTATTTCCTATCAACCACGAGAATGATCAGAAGTCATTCGAATCAAATTTGAAGAAAAGAGATCTCGACGCACCCACTAACTTTTTCGTACGGGTTGCGCATGTGTCGATAAACTGCAGTTGATTAATTATAGTTAGAGAGGAACTCTTCTTCTCCTTCTCACCCCTCTTTTCGCCCTCCTTCTCCTTCTCCTCTTCCAAGGGTATCAGGACTTCATCCAAATGTAAAGCCTGGACTCTAGATTCCAATTCTTCTGCTATGTTGAAGGCAGAAAACTCCTCTTTGGAAACTCCAAAATGTCTCTCGGCCCTTCAACATTTTTCTGTTAATTTGCCATCAGCAAACGTGAAAACTTGTGACAAAATATGTCCCACTAAACATGATAAACAGTTTTGGGTTTATTTTAACCCTATTCCCGCTGGGGGGGGGGTCAATTTGACCCCCCCTGTAGTTTTTTTTACATGACTCAATTATTGTCTTTCGTATTAAAAAACTTATCAAATTATGGAAGAAGACATTCTAAACTATTTATACCAACTGTCATGTTTCGTGGGACACCCTGTATAAGCCATGAATATTACTAGAAAAAAACCTCGAAATCATAAAATTACTTTTAACCTGTGGAATTCACTATCTTATTGAATTTTGGCGACTTGAGGTTAAATCAAATGTAATCTCCTAGCTGCCACATCTCATTGCATTAATAATAAAAAATCAATTCCAAAATAAAGAACACTTCAAAAGTTATTCTTAAAGGGGCTGTAAGTGTAATTTCAAGTGAACCTTTATGCAAAGATGGCAATGTCCAATTTACCACGGCACCCTTTAAAGCTTTATCTTATCAGATATGAATGAGATATGCATGTTTTTGCTTATTTAAACTGTTTTATTTCATTTGTGGTTTCTCTGTAAATATGCATTTCTTACTTTTTTATACACTTCTAAAATCAGGAAAAAAAAACTATGTAACCCTCCACATTCTTTATCGGATAACAGTTTCAAAAATATAAATCGGCCATAGCTTTATTTGCACGGAGGGTATATTAAAATACCCTTTCAGTCTCTTTAACATGACAATTATCCATAATCTTTTCAAGTACCCCAGCGGGGATAGGGTTAACAATTAAAATTGGATTGGTAAAGTAAGTTTATGAATGAATGCCGCAATATATCTTGGCAAGACGACGTGTAATATTTCTCGTATCTATAGACTACCATGCTTATTGCTTAGTGCGACATACTGTACGTAAATCAAACAGCAGTATAATCACTCTTTAATATTGGAGCTTCTACCAAAATTCTTTAAGTGACAGGCGAATATGAATTCAGTCATTGATTTAAAACAAGTTCGTGATTTCAGGAGGCGAGAACCCAACAATATTTAATATAAGTAAACTTAAAATTTTATCATGTTAAGTTGTCTTAATCATTATTTAATTTTGTGTCACAAAAATAACTTAGTGTTTGTTAAAAAATATCATTGATTTAAAATAGGATGTAAGATAAAATATACTCAAAATGCGAAAATTTCTGTTAAGTGGCGGCTCGAAGAGAATAGTTAATAATAACGTCTAATGAAGATTCTAATATTCTTTGCACACAGGTTTTATAGAATACCTGTATATGCTGTGTACGTTGGTACACGCAGTCAGTCTGTGTAAACCATTCTCCAGAATCAATCTCTGTCTCTCAATCTACAAATGTAAAATTATTATAAAATTAATATCATGAAAATAAAGAGGGGACAGTTCCAAATAAACTTCTAATATGAGATAAAGAGAGATAATTACTTAAATTTTACCTCGCTTTCGTCTTGTTTTAATTCTAGTTTGTTCATCCTGTCATTGAGAGACCTGATATTTAGGTTAGAGCTCGACATGAACGAGGAAACCATAGCTGACAACCAGTTAGGTTGGAGCAGAGCTAACTCTGTGTATAGAGTAGTGGGACTCAATCCAACCTCTTGTAATACGTTGGAGATCTTTTTCGCCAGTTCAACCTTGGACCTGTCTTCTAGACTCTGCAAACCCTGCTTCCGGTCAACATGGGTCTGGAGCAGGCAGGTCATAGCGAGCAGACGTCTAGGAAGTTCTGTACTCAAATCATGCTTGAGGAAGGTGATGTAGAGAGATAAAACAGCTTCCTTAAATCCTTGAAGTAAATTTGACCCACCATGAAGAAGGTAATATAGAATACATTTCTCCTCTGACGTTGTCTTAGACCTAAAAATTTAGAATCGTTTAAAAACGCAAACTCTAAAAGCTCATCACTAAGTAACAAAACAGGTTTACTCCGTCAGTTTAGGAAAGAAAAACTGCCAAGACGACATTAATAAACTCTCAATTTCTCTGAAGTTATAATGAATAAGCTCATAATGATTTAAGTCAATAATTGCGTTTTCAATAATTCTTTTAATATTCTATGTTGATTAAATATTAGTACTATCAATACCTTCGGCAGAATCTCCACCATATAATGAAATCTCTCTGAGCAATATTCACTAAAGCTGTTAGCGCCAACTTTGGTCCTAAAGTTCGAAATAAATTCAAATTAAACTTTTTAAAAAAACAACCGATTCGTTTGATTAAGTATGTATGATTCTTGAAACAGCAATTACAAGATACTCCCGGTTTTATTTCCAAATTGTGGTCAATAAATTTGTGCCTTTAGGAATTCTGAAGATATAAATAATTCCGTTAAGATTTCAATATATTAAATAAAACAAAAATTGTCGAAATCTGAACAAAAGTCTTCGGTAATTTTGAAAGCACAAAAAAGGAAGACCACATTTTGGAAATACCAGGACTGAAAGTATCTTATGATTACTAATTCAAGTATTCTACTCGATACTTTATATGTACTGTAAATTCAAGTATTCTACTCGATACTTTATATGTACTGTAAATTCAAGTATTCTACTCGATACTTTATATGTACTGTAAATTCAAGTATTCTACTCGATACTTTATATGTACTGTAAATTCAAGTATTCTACTCGATACTTTATATGTACTGTAAATTCAAGTATTCTACTCGATACTTTATATGTACTGTAAATTCAAGTATTCTACTCGATACTTTATATGTACTGTAAATGCAGGAGAGTGACGATCATAATCTGAATCGTATGTTTGCTGAATCTCATTAAATACAACACAAAAAAGATATGTACATTGTAACTGTAAACTGTACATAAGATTCAAAATCAACTAGTTTTAACGTACCTAGACCAACATTCTCGAGTTTACTGTTGTCGGCTGTAGATTTAATAACAGTTCCTGTAATCTCAAGGAATACTTGTTTAATCTTGGCCTGAACCAGGGGGATGATATTCTCAATACGATAATGGGTATGATTTCGCTACCTAATCCTGGAGGAGAAAACGGGTTAAATTCGGATAGGGAAAAGAAAAAAAAAATTTAATAATATAATCTTTGATTACAAATAAAACCTCAGACATACCTTATATTTTAACAATATTTCAGAAATTCATAAGAAACAAAAATCCAAAATCGGGAAAATTTGTCATTACTGATAAAGAGGAGTGGCCCAGGAAATTTTTTTTGAATGCATTGTTTAACTGTTTTTCCCTAGATTGTTTGGCTAAGGGGGTGAGTGGCCATCGCTCCCCCCTGTGCACGCAACTCTTTATCTGATAAACTATTATGGAGATAATGTTATTCTTCTATCTTAAACTGTGTTGAATATTAGTCTCAGCTAGATAAATCTGCAATTCACTTTTCAAAGAGAAACCAAAAATTAAAAATCAACATTTGGCTGAGAAGAAGGTCTACCAGGAACTATTTTGAATCGTGCAACCTTATTCTTTAATGTAGGGTCTTCTGAAATTATGTTGATAGTCTCTAAAAGTACCTGTTCTAAATAAATAAACGGAAAGATCAAGAACTAAAGGTTCTCCTCACGGAAATAAGTGGCCTAAGGTATTTTAGATTGAACATTGGTAGATGAGTTTATCCTTTTCAATATTAGTCTGAATTCGAATATCATCGATTTTCCTGGTCATGTATATTGTTGAGATCAAAGTTATGAGACGTATGACTGCATATTGAGGAAAGTACCCTTTCCATGAACTTTGTTCTCTCCTCTTTCACCTGAACAAGGCAAAACCAAATGTAATTAAATTAAATTTAACAAATACTAAACAAAATTTGATTTACAAATTTGTAAACAAAGGAGTTGAGTCTTTGCGCCACAACGTAAGATTTTAAAATCCCTTTATCTTTGTAAACTGATGGTGTAAACCTTTGATATTTCAAACTTAGATTATTTCATCTAACAGAAGTTTGAACTATCAAACGTCTACATTCCACAACATTTGGTTGCAACGATTTAGAGAGTAACAAATCAGAGTTTGTTACAAATACTCAACTCCTTTTCTTTTAATATATTTAAAATGCAACTTCTAATTGTGTTTTTGTTTCTGTGGCTTTAGAGCCGTAATCTGTGTAATTAATTGTCTAAGAAAAATCTCACCTTTGTAAGATTAAGGAATGTGTATGTTGAGATAAACCTGTAGGCTTCTAGGCACAAGCCAGCATCAGTCTGAATGATGATAAGATGGAAACCTTCTAATTTGATCTTTAGATGTTGTTTTTCATCAAGGTTTAAAGTAGAAAAAAACTTTTTTTATCAGTCTGCAGCTAACACCCAACTAAGTAAGTACAAAGAAAGAAGTGAAAAGTGGACAGGTAACAGTGAGAAGTGAATAGATGACAAAGAGAAGTGAGTAATGGACAGGTAAAAGTGAGAAGTGAGTAGTAGACGGGTAACAGAGAGAAGTAAGTAGTGGAAAGGTAACAGGGAGAAGCGAGTAGTGGACAGGTCACAGGGAGAAGCGAGTAGTGGGCAGGTAACAATGAGAAGTGAGTAGTGGACAGGTAACTGTGAAAATTGAGTAGTGGACAGGTAACAAGGAGAAGTAAGTAGTAGACAGGTAACAAGGAGAAATGGATAGGTAACAGTGAGAATGGAGTGATGGACAGGTAACACTGACAAGTGTGTAGTGTACAGGTAACATTGAGAAATGGACAGGTAACAGTGAGAAGTGAGTAGTGGAAGGTAACAGTGAGAAGTGAGTAGTGGGCAGGTAACAATGAGAAGTGAGTAGTGTATACTGTACAGGTAACAGTGAGAAATGGAGAGGTAACAGTGAGAATTGAGTAGTGGACAGGTAACAGAGAGAAGTGAGTAGTGGACAGGTAACAGTGAGAAGTGAGTAGTGGACAGGTAACAGAGAGAAATGGACAGGTAACAGTGAGAATTGAGTAGTGGACAGATAACAGTGAGAAGTGAGTAGTGGACCGGTAATAGTGAGAAGAGAATAGTGAACATGTAACAATGAGAAGTGAGTGCTGAAAAGGTAACAGTGAGAACACGAGCAGTGAATAGTGGAAAGTACAAAATAAGGAGTAAGTAGTGGAAAGTACAAAGTAAGAAGTGAGAAGTGGACGGGGTAACAGTGAATAGTGGACACTGGACAGGTAACAGTGAGAAGTAAATGAAAGTCAGAAATCAAAGACAACGAGTCAAATAGTCAACAAACAGTAATAAACAAAATCTATAATTAATTGTTAGGATTTGCAGTAGTTGATTGTCCGCATTGTATATCAAATGTCATTAGTTAACATTTAGAGTAAATAGTCGACAGCCAACATAAGGCGAATATAATTTCTTGAAAATACTAACAGTCTATCGAGTCTATCAGCCAACATAAGACGAATGTTGCTTCTTGAAAATACTAACAGTCTATCGAGTCTATCAAGGCGAATATAGTTTCTTGAAAATACTAATAGTCGACAGCCAACATAAGGCGAATATTGTTTCTTGAAAATACTAACAGTCTATCGAGTCTATCAGCCCACCTGGAAGAGCAATCCTCTCCGGAATACAAAGTTGAACGTGAACTTATCAAGGTACTGGTTTTTAAACCAGGAGAGACGAACTGTTTCAATCTGAAGATAAATCCCAGATTCCTCGTCTAAAATTTACCAAAGTTAAAAACTAATTAAATCCATTGAAGTCGCAGACTGTTAATGGTTTGTTGATTGCGTAAACTGCTTTATGGCAGTTTAGGAACATGACTTAAAATAAAAAATCTTATTACATGTACAGATTACAGTAAAATGTAACCCTTTAAAAGCACTTCAAACCAATTCATGTTAACTGTACAGTAAGGAAGGTCGATTTCGGAAATTCCACTTTCTCCAGCCAGAATACCTTACATGTTGGTTATTAAAACGTCTTTAAGAGAGAACAGTGTTCTCTCAAGTCCATATTACGCGGACGAAACCTGGTTTTATGACGATAAAATTGGATTAACGTGACTATTGCAAGAGACACTTTTTTGGGGTCAAAATATGACTTTATGGGAATCAAAAGATCCGGAACACTGAATATAAAAAAAAACATTTAAATCAGTTAATAAATAAAGTTAGTGACAAAAAACGGTTTTAAGGAGGGGAAATTTGTTTGAGTCCAAAAAAACCCGTTTTTGGGCCTAAACTCGACCAATTCTTAAAATATCGAAATTCTACAAATGTACCGTAATCAGTGACCTTAGACAGATCATTCCTACATTTAGGGTTGTTAAACGTTTTTGAAAACGATCGTTAAATGATCGTTTTTTGTTTCGTTTTTCAATCGTTTTAAATTTTAAAAAACGAATATTGATCGTTTTTTATAAAACGATTTGCAACAGTTTTTAATACGATTGTTTCCTAAAAAACGTTCTCTTTTGAAAAAACGATAGTTAAAGAAAAAAATTATTTATAATTTTGTTAACGATTGTAAACGAAGGGTCGTCGTTAACGATCATTAACGAAACAACGTTTGGAAAAACGATCGCTTTTGAAAAAAAAATTACATGCAACTTTATTGAATGTCGTCTTACATGAATTTAAACAGTTGTGGGATCACTAAAACTTCTTGATATTTTCTTAAAAACTACTCATTAATAAGTACAGATGCCCTTCAGGTCGGTTTTCTCCCTTCGTTAACGATCGTTAACGAAACAACGAGTTTTATAAAACGACAATTTTTAAAAAACGAACTTTTAAAAAAATGATCGTTTTTAAAAACGATCGCTTCGTTTTCGACTTTTCGTCATCGTTTTCATAAAGAAACGGTCGTTCTACAAAAAAATGAAAACTTTAACATTAGCAAGAATTTTTGTTTTGTTCTTTACTAGTGCTTTTTAATATATTTTCAAATTTATCCTACTAAAATTGATTTTTACCCTTAATCCAAATTTTTCAGCTTTTCTGAATTATAAAAAGTAAAAGAAAATCGGTCCCTGATTGAAGTTGCTAGTTCTCACTGAACATAGCAGGTTTTATTTCCTGACTTTCGGTTTAAATATTCAAAATTGAATGTTCAAGCATTTTAATGGGTATTTCTATCTTTATTCAAGTGTTCTACCTGAGATTTCTGAAACAAGATGGGTTTCATTAATGTCTGATGGGGCAACCTTGGTTCGAACCAAAGGATACTCCTTGGAATAGTTTGCAATGGCTGGACTAGAGTAAGATAACGCATCATTCTCACAGGTTTTCATAAATCTGAACAAACAAAGGATCTAAACAAGTCATATTTAATCAATTCTGTTTCAGCAAATAATTTGAATATAAAATTATTACAAACTTTGGAATAATTGTGTAATTGACCGTATTTATCTTGGGTACTAACAACTTTGATCATGATTCAATTGATGTCAGGAATTGATTTATATATATTGATAATAGATATATATTAAAGGATTTTGACTACTGAGGATCGTCGTGAGAGATTATGTTTTGTTAAATTCTTTTTGCATAAAATGTGAAGTTTAAAAACTAAAATATTATATATAAGATGTGTGAGATGTGAGATGAGATATGCAGGAAGCCCCATCTTGGGCAACCTAGACCGCCTACAATAATATCCGGAAAGGAAATAGTATGAATGTTAATCTGTATCTCTGTGTATAGTAATACTGTTGTGATTTGTACTTGTGGATGTTATACATAATCACAAGCAGGGAAAGTACTACTAATCTTTGCTTCCAGATAAGAATGGTTGTCTGTGGGTTTATGTTTACCCTGTGAATATTAATATTTGTTTTAAATTACAGACTAAGCATGGGACTAAAGCACTCAAGAGATCAATAAACAGTATACAGGCCAGTTTTATCAATTTACTATATCTTCATAAGAAGCTCGTTTTAAAATGAACCTGCATAAATAAGTTTTAAGATTAGCAGGATTCAATGGAAATTGTTGCATACCAAAAAAACTTCACCCTCGTGTTTATTATAAAATCCCTTGGGGGTTTAAATTTCGATTGGTTCTAGTTTTTCTGAGAGTAAATGATACATTTCCCCAAAAGTCCTAGCCGCAGGGCAACTACCCACAAGGATATTTAAGACATGGATCAACCAAATCTGATAAATCTTTTCGTCAGGTCTTAATTGTTATCAAGGAAAATGTATTTCAAGAAATTTGCATTAAACAAAAATTATTTTTAGGAATTTTATTTTGTAGAAAATTTAAACAAAAACTTTTTTATTTTAAAATTGTTTATTCTTTTCCATCAAGTTCTTATTTTGAATGAGTTTGTCCAGATTCAAGATAAAAAGCGCAAGATAAAAATTAAAACTAACCTTGCATAGCAACAAGCATAGAGTCCACAAGCCGAGGTCCTACTTGTAAACCAATCTCCACCACTGAAATAAAAATAAAAATATGTAGAAATGGGGTTAATCAAATCCTCGCGGAGAGAACAACCTTCTTNGGATTTTATACCTTAGTTCTACCTCCTTCACATGACCACCTAGAGTATACAATTGTTATAAACCAGATATGGACGGGAAGGGAAATAGCCTGCCGGAAATAAAAATTGAAGATCCAAGTGCATGACCCCCATATCCTATACCAATCAACCCCCCCCCTCCATTGCCTACATCCTATACCAATCAAACCCCTCCTCCCATAAAAACTATGATCATCAACCTCCTCATCTTCTGATATTTCTTTATCTGAGACCTCCACAGATGAATCAAGATCCACAGGTTCTGTAAATAATCCTACTTTTTCAACCAACTGTCAAAAAGTAATATTAAAGTAATTACTTATCAAAAAGAGTTTTGATTGTTAAATATTTGACTTAAAAAGAATTCCTGCTGATTTTGAAATAAATAAATAATATTATTGAAAAATCATGCTTCAAAATAATTAATAATTTAACTTTCACAAGTAAATGATTAAATTTTTTTAAAGGACAAATCATAAATGTGAAAATGCGTTCCTAATTCCACAAGAGGAGCAGATTTTCCCACTTCATCAATTATCTCAATTTCAGGAGATGGCTCCTAAAATACATTTAATTTTCGATTTTTTAGGACACTTCTATAAATCTGACAAGAATATAACTCACTCAAGATTATAATGCAAGGAAAGTTATTTCAGAGGTGTACGCATCTTTTGTACTGCAGTGTACTGTCTCTGGGCGGTAATGTAAACACAAGACAGATGTTAAAGCCTGACAAAGTATTAATCTTTAACATAAAAATCAATGAAATATTCTGGTCATAGGAAACTATTATGTAAATTATCAAAATTATCAAAATTTAAAGCTTTTAACCTCCTCGGATATCAGAGAAACACTGATGCATCTATTCTTGTTTACGAATTCCGCCCAGAGAGAGCTGGTTTCAATATGGACGCAGAGAATACGCAACGGCAATTAACTTTCCTTGCATTATATCCTTGAACTCACTAATCATGTATTTTAATGCGTAGTCAAAGTTTTACTTACTTTCAACTGATTCTTTTGTGTTCTGCAAAATGCCGTATAATTCTGAAACATTAAATAATTTAATTTTTAAAAACAAGAAAAACTTTTTCTCAAACATACTTACTTTTAGTCCTTGATATTGTTGGTCCCGTCTCTCTGATGCATACTTTTGAAACAAAACCTAGTTCAATCCAATATATTTTCTTATCCATAACTTAAAAATAAAATCCTCAACTTAAAAAAAGAAACTAGATGGAAAAAATTAACATCATAAAGGACAAATGTTTATGTATTTTGTTGAAAAATTATTTCCCTTCCCAAACATGTTTTTCATAGTATCTTTCAGGTTTTTTTTTAAATCGCGAATTAGAGAGTATATACGATTTAAAGTGAAAAAAGTTGACTAAAAATATAAAAGAGATATTTTTTCAGACGACAATGTTCAAAATAATATTAAAATTTACAAAAAAGTCCGGTAAATACATATTGTTTCGATAATCAAAACCACCAAATAGTTTATTTTCAACAAAACCTAAATTTATTTAATTCAGCCCAAATTACATGCTTTTAAAAAGACTATTCACATTATTTTATGTAACCCTTTATTTATGAAATGTCATAATTTATTAACAATCATGCCCGGCATACTTTTTAATATTGAAAAGTTGCGTGTAGATACCTCCGTTAAAAAAGAGGATCTTAAAAATACGTTGATAACCTCTTTTTTTAAGTGAATGCACAAGACAATGATATACAGGTATGAGAAGAACGGATAAATCCGTCTTGGTTTACCCGTCGTAGATACCCGGACAGTACTCCGGGTTTAAGAAGATCAAACCTATCCTCCTTCACATGACCACCTAGAGTATACAATTGTTATAAACCAGATATGGACGGGAAGGGAAATAGCCTGCCGGAAATAAAAATTGAAGATCCAAGTGCATGACCCCCCCCCCCCCCTAAAAAGGGAATTTTTTCCAATTTAAAATATTAAAAAAAATTGAAAGATTTCAAAAAAAAATACAGACGACTTTTAGAACGAGGAGTAAAAACTACAAATAAGCAAAATGTGATAATTGTTATTTCTATTATTGGACAATAGACAATCTAACTTTGAGTCGGCGTTCAAATCCAAAACTTTGCATTTAAGTCAAGTTATGGATCGATCAAAGTTGAATAGATAAATTTATAATGGTCCCTTTGAACAAATAAAACGTAGCATTACCTTCTCGTAGATATTCAGGAATATATTTAGAGTATAAGAACCTTACGTTTCCCAACACCTGCAAACGCTAATATTTATCTAAAAAGTTAGACAATGTTAAGAACAACTGCATGGTTTAAAATTAAATGCTTGAAAAAGTTTTATATTTTAGTTTCCTTAGATGTTTGGATGAAATCTGCAAGCAGGTCGTAGAACCTAAATATAATTTTACAATAAATAATTTAATTTTATCAGTGCTTAGGATCCATTTCAATCTGATGCGAGTCCAACTCCTGGATATTCTATGAAAAAAATTCAAATTCTTTTCCAGGTCATAAACATTTCATTTTCCAGGTCATAAACATTTCATTTTCCAGGTCATGAACATTTCATTTTCCAGGTCATGAACATTTCATTTTGCCCCTTAGATCTGGATCCGCATATTTCTTTGCGGAGCCAGATGTAAGAAGCTAAAATGTTACGCATTCAACGGATCCGGATACTAAACACTGGATTATAGATAATCGAAATCCGTTAAATTTAAAACGCTAGGTTTTTTATCAACATTTTCAGGTACATGTACGGATGAATTGATTATTAAAACAAATATTACCAGGGGCGTGTTCAGGAATTTGTCCAGGAGGGGCTTAAATTTTTCTCTTTCCAGGGGGGCTCAGCACCCGTTGGGGCCTGAAAACCCCCTAAAATCAATAAATTTCTCTGGTCCAGGGGGGGGCTTAGCCCCCATACCCCCCCCTGAATACGCCTCTGAATATTACCTATGCATCGGTTTCATAAATGCCAGATCAAGCAGAACATGTGTTAAATCTCCCCTTTGCCACTAGATATATATTCACACTGATATATGCCCAATATAAAGTAATGTGATACTACATATATTTTCTTTCAAAATCATTTAAAATATATTTACATCTCTGAATTTTAAGTGAAGGAAAAACCTGGAGAAACATATCAAACAGAGGTTAAAAATTTATTCAAAATTTGCCGGTTTAGACATTTTTCCCCACAACCTAAGAAGAATTTTTTACCATATAGTGTTAAATTTGATCATCAAATTTTTCCAAAAATACAATTTTCCATTATTATTTTCATCAAATATTATCTTATTTATTTAACATTTATTTTATTAATTTAAAATAATTTTTAACCTTTCTACCGGACAGATCTCTTATCCCCTTGATCTTGTCATAAACGATCCCTCCGCCTGCCTAGATAATAATAAAATATATTATCATAATAATTTTATTATCCATCACTATTATAAGGAAATCGTTAATTCTCTTCATTTCTCCTTCATTTCAGATTAATTTTTAACATTTTTAATTGGGTTGCCAAATTGTTATTTGTATCAAGCATTCAAAAAAAAATATTTTGAGTTAGTCCTAACAAATAAGATCATAGAAATCAAAACTTCAAGATTCAGTATTAAATTTGATTTGTATTGAATTTAAAAACTTGCTCAATGATTTTTAGAAATTTTTAAGAACACAAATTGAAACAAAACAAACGTCAGAAATATTTAAATCAATGCTTTAAGATTAGTTTATCCAATCAAATTTTACTGTGCGGTGGGGTCCGAGGGGGCAGGATGGTCTACAGGTGGGGTCCGAGGGGGCAGGATGGTTTACAGGTGGGGTCCGAGGGGGCAGGATGGTTTACAGTTTGTTCCAAGGTTTGGGAGATCTATTATTAATCAAAATATTCTTCGAAATGTCTAATTACCTTGATAATAGAAGTGTACGCTTCAACCTTGAGATCATTATTGCTGATGATAACTGCTCTCATGTGAATAAAAGGTCCTGGCGTTTCAAGGATAGATTTGAGTTTCTACATGACCCCCCCCCCCCCGCTGGGTGTAATTCTTGAACATGAATAATTAATTTGATTGATATTAAAGAGATTTAAGATTAAGTTTAATGTGGGCACTATGAAACCCTCACAGGACTATCTTGATAATTAAACAAAGAAGTCGGATTGAATAAAATGCAGGGTAAGTATGTTTTACAGTCATTTATCCCCACCACACCACTCATACACAAATTATCGCGGACTCATGACGTTTAGAATTTTTTTAATTAAAACTCGTCATTGCAGCATTTCTAATTTTTTCTACCAAAAAAATCCAGTTNNNATCCATGTGGTTCCAAATTTAGCTAAAAAAAAAGGGAAGAAAAAAAAAACATGTTTTTATAATTTCAATCAAAATCTTTCCTGAAATCTCGTTTGTTTTCCTGGAGTCAGAATAATATTATTAACAATTTTGGTGATATTTCAATATCAAAATCTTTTATTATTTTAGCTTTATTTTTTTAGTGTGTTCGTATAACTTTAAAAAGTTGCATTTTTACAACCGCTTGATAACGGATTTTTGCTAAGTAATAATATTATGGAATTTTATTATAGTTCTTTCATTTAAAAATACTATTCCAAAAGTAAAATATATCTTATTGTCCTCTCTTGGACAGATTTACATTTTGATTTACAGTTTTACATGTATTAAAAAATTATATGATTTTTCCCGTGGGTCCTTCAACAAGTTACACAAAACACGTCATAAAATTTTGGAAAATAAAGAGATAAATTTGTTCTCCCCCTTGAAAAAAAATATGGTTAACCCATTCTGTTCATTTAAAAGTTGCAAGCTCGGATCAGGTTCAACTGATCCTGTCCATTTAAAAGTTGCAAGCTTGGATTTTATACCTTAGTTCTACACAAGCAGGGTAGGGTAAATGAGCTTTCTCGTTGGTCCAACTCTTTTTCCTAAAATTATAGTACATAGGTGAGACATTTTTGATTCTTGTCAAATTTTGAAAATCCACAAACAATTTTATTGAATCCGCGAACTTTTTTCTGTTATTCTTTTATAGTGTACACGGAAAGGTGCTACAAATAGAGCCACAATTAAAAGTTGCTAACGATGATGGACGCGAAGCGCCCTTAAAGACCAGTTTCAGTACAAATGAGGGCGCAATGTTATGGTTTCATATAAAGAAATACCCAATCAGGCCTTTGAAAATCTCAAAAAAAATTGCAAACAAGCTAGCAACGATTCACCTGGACGAAAAAAAAACGTAAAAATAATAATTGCAGATTTTAAATGTCTTAAAAAATAACAAAAAATCTACCATAGCTTCCTTTTTAACAGTTTAAGCAACTTCAGATCGAACCCGGGGTTTATATTTTTAAGAATTTAAAGATGATAAGTAATAATCTGGGGAAAAATAAAAACTTGGAAATCAATAGGCATGTAAACATCATGTGTATAAATTATAATTTCATCCTTTTAGATACCGCCACCCAATAAACTCGTTTTCCCTTGTAAATATTTTCCATATTTTCTATTTCAGCTCAAGAAACCCTGAAATATCAAATATCTGGGGGAAAAAAACTATTTTTAAAAAGGGGGGACGGAATTATTTTCAAAGAAAATTTACACCCCTGAACTGAACTCTAAACCACACAATAAATAAACAACCTCGCACTCTTGACGAGAAAACTGTGGTACACTACCCATTTCCCAGCAGCCAGTCCACACATCACCTAAATTCTTTACAATTTAGTTCTATCATTTTTGATCAGTGGTATTCAAGAAATTATTAGGAGGAAAAAACTCCTAGCATTAATTTTATTCTCAATACATGTTTAACCACCCCGCCTCCCAAAAAAATAAAAGATTTCTTTTTCTATCCTATCCCTTAAAATCTATGAGATTACCGATTTTGTTAGCTGTGGAGCATTTCCGATAGAATGATAGATAACATGAGTTACATTATCGTCAAACTTCCGAGATCTATCATACACTCTTAACATAATAACAAATTATATTTATCATTTTCGTCATTTTTTGTTTATTATTTTGTCTGCGCGCTTGTTAGCCACTTTGTGTATATACATTGGTTGAATAGTTCTGCACTTCTATTGTTCCGACGCTGAAAATTAAACTGAGGGACACTAAAAGTTGAAAGTGAAGAACAAAAAAAAACAGGTCAAGATAAGCTCTACTAAAAATTCAAATTTATATAACCGTCTAAGGTTAAGGACTCCTTTTATGGGTAAAATTAACTTCAATACTAATTTAACATGTTCTTTATAGTAAACAGTAGAAATAAGAAGAAATATGTCAATAATTATATTACAGAGGCGTATCATTTTAAGAATATTACCCCCCCATGCCAATGCACGGGGAAGGAGGATGATCTGGGTTCAAAAAATTCAAATTTATCCAAATCCATCCTGTAAGATACTTTTCCCAATTTTTTTATTTTTCCTTATAAATCATTTGTTTTTTTCAAAATCCAGCAAATAAAAATCTCAAAATTTTTTTTCCACTCCCGCGCAAACATAATGTTAATAAGAAATAAGAAATATACACTACTGCAATATAGCAAAACGATAACATATTATTGAAAACAATTACCTGACGTTCATTTGTATTGCGAGTTTTTCTAATTTTTTGAATTCCCCAAGACCAAACTTCTCATCCCCGCCTTAACGTATATTAATCAATTTTTTTGAACTTCCAAGTATTAAAATCTGCTCTACGTGTCCCTAAAATAGCTGGCAGTTCGTAACAAACGTGTGACATTTATACTTACAGAGCAGCTTTGAATGATAGGATTAAATATGAAAGATTATACACAATACACTGGATACCATTATCAACAGAGAATGAAACTGTAAGGACGACCTGGAACTCGTATAATATGAACTAAGGGTAAATTAAGTGCTCTGTCTTAAATATTTTCGTTTAATGATTGGGGGGGAAACGATCAAGTTTAAAGGTGGAGGGAAACGTGAATATATGGAAACAGGCAATATAAATTCATTAGAGTCGTCTCTGAAGTCTTATTTATTATAGGTAACAATGTATGCTTCGATAAAACTGTATTTTCCCCCTATAACACATATTTTTTTTAAGGATAACAAGATCATTTGCAAAGGACAAATTAACTTACAGATCTTGATATTTTTAGTTCCGTCATGTCCGTCCTCGCATCTCTTGTATATATTAGTTTATCAGAAAAGAAAGATAGTCTTAGTGTTACACTTAGGTAAACATTTTTCTTCTAATTCCAGAAGTCAAAGTCTAACAAGAAAGAAATTCAAGGAGTTCAAATTCTTACTTAATTTTGTCAGGATTTCTCAATCATGTTCAGACACAATACCAACAATTTCTAAACACTGACATTGCGGTCCGGGTCCGCTATGATTTAGCAAATTATCATCCATGGTCCGAATTTAATGAATTTGAGCCGCGTCTCAAATCCGCAAAAAAACCGGTTTTAATAGAGCGCCGACTTAAATCTTGAAACATTGAATACAATTTTAAGTGGAACAAATGATATTAAAGCCGCGTCTCAACTTAAAGCCGTGGCTCAAATATTTTTTTGTTAGCTGGAAACTTTTGAATGTTGGATTTAGAGATTAAGGCTTGATTCACTCTTTTTCCCGGAGGTCATTTGAGGTCGTAAGAGGTCATTCGAAGGTCAAAAACTGTATTTGTTGCTACTACTGTATTTCCTGGGTTCCTAGCTTTCGTTTGATATGCATAAAGCCATAGTTAAAACATTTTAATTTTTTAGGTCATTTAGGTCATTAGAGGTCAGTAGAACATCAAACACTGGATTCGTTGCTGCAACTGTATTCCTGGGGTTCCTAGCTTTCGTTAGATATGCATAAAGCCATAGTTGAAATATTTTCTATTTCTGGAGGTCATTAAAATTTAATTTGATTTTATTTTAGGAATTTCGAACATTAATTAGGCGTACAGCCAAAAAATTGGAAGATTTGAGCTAAAAATTAAGGCATGCCCCCCCCCCTTACATCAAATGTGCCATCTCCACCATCCCCTTTGGCCTTTGGATTCGGAAATGTATGTAAAGCCACGGAACCGGATTTCAGAGGCGGCTTATGATTTACTTTGGTATTGAAAGTTTAACAAGAACTTACACAAAAATAAAACTGGTCTCTCCCGCGACGACATTTTATTCAATCTGAAACAAAAGAAAAACATGAACAACAATTAATCTAACTTTAATCGCATAATAATAACATCAACAATTGAAAACAGAAAATAATTTTGTACAAAAACTATGTAAATGTTTACAAAATACGAAATTGACAATATTCATTATTTTACTTAAGCTCAATGCAATTCTAGGAACTACAATAACAATGACAAAAAAAATTCATAACAAACCCCCCAGGCCAGTAGTAAAAGAATATTTCCTTTCTCATGCTATAATTTTAATAAAAACGGATCACCTATGGTAGAACATAAAACATCCATGTGGTTCCAAATAAAAACATAATTTGATGAATGATACACGACATGCATTAATAAATGTTGTGCAAGACCATGAGGCTCAAAACGTGTTGCATCTTGTTAAGTTGTTACTTCTTGGTATAACGATCACAGGAGCTCAAAATCTTTTAATTTGAGCATAAACCTTTTTAGCCTAAAATAAAATTTAAAACAAAATTTTTTTCCTAACAAAGATTGAATATAGTTTTTTTTTAATTCTACAATTGACTGATGAGCAAACATAAAATCATTTTTTGTTTTAAAACAAAGAAAGATCAAAGATAAAAGAATGCCAGCTGACAAATAATAGTTGCAAAAAACTACTAAAAAAAGCTACTTATTTTGTACAAGTTTGATATGTTTCACACAATATATTAAATTCCTAGCTAAACAACACAGTTAGACAATTATGTAAAATTAGCTTCATAATAACAGGAAACTGAACATTTTTGATTTGATCTGTTTTAAGGTTACGAGCGCAGAGATATTCCTTGTCGCGTATATCCATTATCCATAGTATTCTACTCCCCTCTATCCTTGACAGTAAGAATGCTTGAGTTGCATTGTTTGATCATATTCTTGAGAACTCCGTAGAATAGAACCAGGTGGCAGCAGTGAAGCCCTAGGCAACAAAATTTAAAATATATTCTTTTCGAAACTTTTAAATTGAATTTAATAGAAAAGGTAAAAAAGAAAGAAAAGACACACACTATTATCAATCTGGTGATAATATTCATACTGAGACCAAAATAAAATTGCATACAGACAGACCGGCTATGTAAGGTAGTTGAGCTGAGTATGCAGTGTTGTGGACAAATTCTTTAGGATTCATTTGAGACATATAAAACTTTTTAAAGATCTGTAAATCCTGAGTTTGAACGTCGACTATGCACTCAAACTCAGTAATCGTGGAAACGTTTTATATGTCTCAAATGAATCCTAAAGAATTTGTCCACAACACAGCATACTCAGTTTAACTACCTTACATAGCCGGTCTGTCCCTTTAACAAGGTTATTAACTCATGAATATGTGTTAATTTATAGAAACGTAAGTATGATCTAGTAGACAGGAAGGTAAGTTTTTCCTTCTTTTTGGATACTTTTAACCCCACAAAAATTACTCATTTTCCCCCTAAAAGTTGTGTGCTTTCCCAATTTTAGCGAAAAGTAAACCTAATAAACTGAAAAATCATACCTTACTTGTCGGGATTTTTTTTAAACGTGGGAAAAGATTTTTAAAAAAAGAAATATACACGATTGCTAATAAAATTTCTTCAAATGATATATGTGAAAAGTAAATTTTTTTAAATTAATTGGTACGTAACTTTAAAAAGTATAGTACACTACCACATTAAATATTTGATGTATTAGGCAAATAAGTATTTTAAGTATCAACACCATATTGGTGATTCTTAAAGCCTTAAAGCCAAGAAAAAATATTCAACATCTCAGTCATTTGAAAATAAAAGTAAGAAATACCAAAGAAATACCTAGCTTGAGTAAACTGTGCTTGGATAAATGATTTCTAGTCTCAAGAATTTGTAAGAAATACCAAAGAAATACCTAAGCTTGAGTAAACTGTGCTCGGATAAATGTTCCAACACATCTCCACTACACCCAGGATTAAGAGACGGGTCATCACACGGTACCCTGAGCACCACGCCAGGTAGGGTAGGGTGTGGTAGTACCTAAACAAGATAAATGGTTACAAAGTAAGTTATCAACTAGAAACACAAAAGGATATTGATTGAGGTCCCCAAAGATTAAATTGAGAGGGAGGCGGATTGGGTTTTTATATTTTTACTGTGACCTTTCAGGGCTGCTAAGTATCATGCTTTGTTGTAAATAAGTAACTATTGGTTAGTAGTGATATCTTTAACAATTTTTGAAATTGTTTTGATATCACTAGTTAGTAGTTTTAAGCAGTTATATTACGTCACATCAGTAAAACGTTTCAACAACCCCTAACCCACTTTTAATAAATATGCTAATATATCCTTGCCGCACCCCCCCCCCTCCCACGTCTGTGGGCGTACAGGACTTAGGCCAGGGGAGGGGCTACAGGCTAACCCCAAGGAACTATAGTTTTCAGTTGTCCAGGGGAAACAAGAGCCCTTGTGTACGCCCCTGCCCCTAATGATCTAGCTAACAAGGAAATCATATTTAAGAACTAACCAGACATAGAACTGGTAGTGAAGAGATCTAGCGAACATGACACCAATGAAGTTGGAGAGAAAGAAAGGGAGAACCAACAACTGACGGGATTAATTCATTTATCTATGTACAATGTTAACATACATGTACACTGTACACTACAGGTGTTAATGGCATTCTACAAATAGTCCAGTTAAAAGTGACAGTGCACTACTTTTTTGATCAGATTATTAAAAAGTAAAATAAATGGAAAACCTGAAGAACAAATAAAAAAATTCTCTCAAACCTATCAAACGGGAAAACACCTTAATACATAAATGTTAAATAAAGAAAAAAGCAATAAATAAAAACTTCGAAAAACAGTAATAATGCAGATACTAAAATACAAATCTTTGAGAGATAATAATTTTTCAAAATAGTTATCAAATGAATAAATAAATCATTTGATTTAAGAAGGTCCATATTAATTAATTGATAATCTAAATGAATCCCTGAGCGACAGCTGGTATATTCATCGTTCTCAGTTTTGAATAAGAACTCAGAAATCTCCACATATATCTAGAAAAGCCAGATAATATTAGAATTTTAATAATATATATTTTATAATATATATTTTTAAGAATTATCCCCAATGGAAGACGGGGGAGGGGGGGATTTTCGATACACTGGGAAAGTAGAATAAATTTTTCATATTGTTTGATACTTTTTACCGAAAAATGTATTTATGTTCCTCAATTCAGCGAATAAAACGTTAAAAATACCTAAGATCTCGGGGTAAAATGATCTTTTTAATGACATTAAGTTATGAAAATACCTGGCAGCTGCGGCAAGAACGACGATGTGGAGAAGAAGAAGAGATATATGAAAATATCGATTCACAAAAACTTCTTCAGGCAAAAACCTAAAAAATATGTTATCAATTGAAAAAATTAAAATAAGTGGTTAATATTATCCCTCGAAAAAGTTTCAAAATGCTTTACACTGAAAATGTTGACTCCATTCCGGAATTTAAGTTAACTAAATATTATAAACGTACAAAGGTAAAAACTTCTGTATAGGTTCCCCTTCTCCCTTGTAAATGAAGACCATGTCAAGGTTGACCCTTGAACACCTTCTCCCCTATCTACCTGAAGTTGACAGTCCACTTGAACATGAAAACCCTGTAAGGTTGACCTTCCCAGATGTACTTCCATCTACCTCAAGTTGTCAGTCCACTTGTACATGAAGTGCCAAGCCCCCCCTCCCCTCCACTCCCCAATCTACCTGAAGTGTACATAAAGACTCTGCCAAGGTTCCCCCCTTCCTAACAACTCCCCAATCTACCTGAAGTGGACATGTAGGTAGACCCTGTCAAGGTTACCCTCCCCTAGCTACTTCCTAATCTACCTGAAGTTAACAGTCCACTTGTACATGAATACCCTGCCAAGGTTGAATGCCCCAATGATGTAGTTGAGGGGATGGTGGAGGAGGAAGGGTAACCCAACCAGAACTTGGAATCCAGCACACACACTCAACTTAATACAAAACCTTTTTTAATCGGTTCTAATATTTGATACTCAAATCAAACCAATCCAAATCAAATCAAATCAAATCAAATCAAATCAAATCAAATCAAATCAAATCAAATCAAATCAAATCAAATCAAATCAAATCAAATCAAATGGATATCTGAAAGGAAACCCAAAGTGGAACCCCCAGACTGCCTTCAGGGCACAGCGCTACACCGTGCGGCTGCGGCCTGGCGTCCACTCCACTTAAACTAAAGTTAGAACTTCGTGTTGTGAATCCAACAACTGATGTTATGTCCAAAACTTGTAATCACTACATTGCAACATGTTTGAAAGTATATTTACCTGGAAAAATGTTTGTTTATATCCAAGAACTGTTATGTACGCAATCAACAGAGCTGGACTGTACAGCAGAATATTCATTTTAACTGATACTGCTAAACTGTACATCAGGCTTCCTAAATGAAATTAAACAATTATATATTTTAATTACAAGCTTCGTGCAGTTCTTAAAAGATCAAATCCATTTTATTTGGGTGAAGATCCGAATCCTGCTCATGAGAATCCTTGGAACAAAAAAGTTGTTAAACCAGTGAATCAGCAGTCCCCATTCTAAGCACAGCTTTCTTTGATTGACATTTACCGTGGCAAATATGTCATTTTATTTAGTGGCAATTCATAACACAAATGCGGAAAACCAAAATGTGCCTGATTTTTATGTAAAACATATGACCCCTGCCGTATACAGATAAAGTATTATCTTTAAAATACTACAGGGTGGCCAAAACTTTTTTGAAAAAATCCGTACAAAAATCCGTACATTTTCAGAGGTAATCCGTACAATCTTCGAAAAAAAATCCGTACAATCCGTACAATTTTTGAGAAAAAAAATCCGTACAATCCGTACATTTTTTTAAAAATCCGTACAATTTTCGAAAAAATCCTTACAATCAGTACAATTTTCGAAAAAAAATCCCTGCAATCCGTACATTTAAGAAAAATTAAACCATTTTTGAAAATATTATTCAACACTGTCTTGGGTTGCACACTCAATTAAAAGAAAGTTAAAATTAAACTAAAAATGAAAAGATTTACAAAAAAACGGAAGAAACCTGAGAGGATGTTCTCAGATCTGATAAAGAGACAGATAGATAGATAAACAGACAGACAGATAGATAGACAGAGAAACAGATACACATACACATATAGATAAACAGAGAGACAGATAGGATATATAAACAGATAAATAAAAAGATAGATAAACTGCCATGCAGATAGATATACAGATGGATAGACAGATACCTAGATAGATAGCTAGACATACAGCTAGACAGAGAGCTAGACATATAGATAGACAGATAGATAGACAGATAAATAGACAGATAGCTAGACAGTTAGCTAGACAGAGAGCTAGACAGATAGCTAGACAGATAGATACAGATAGCTAGACAGATAGCTAGACAGATAGACAGTTAGCTAGACATACAGCTAGACATATAGCTAGACAGAGAGCTAGACAGATAGCTAGACAGATAGATAGACAGATAGCTATACAGATAGACAGATAGATAAACACATTCTCAAATGAACACTTCTGGAACATATTCTCAAATGAACACTTCTGGGATCTCGAAAATTATCAATGAATTTTGAATGTCAATTGAAACGTTAATCAATTTAATATTATTTAGAATGCAGAAAATAAGTTAAACTAACTTCATTTTGACGAGATTTTTTTTTGAAATTTTCATGAAAAACTTGCTGAAATGAGTGAAAATTTAAAAAAAAACGGTGTATTTCCAGGATAAAAATCCGTACAATCCGTACAATTTGAAAAAAATCCGTACAATCCGTACAATTTGAACAAAAAATCCGTACAATCCGTACAATTTGAAAAAAATCCGTACAATCCGTACAATTTTAGGGTTACAAAATAAAAAATCCGTACAATCCGTACATTTTGGCTACCCTGATACTAATACTCCAACAGATCCTTAACTTTAATCAAAAGAACAAAATATTAAAAGAAAATTAAGATCGAAAATAACATAAATAAGCATAACAATTTGATAATTACAAAGCTTATATATTGGTATAGAGAATGCACTTTAAACAAAGCTTATATGTTGGTACAGAGAATACAATTTAAAACACAGATTATATATTGGTATAGAGATTTCACTTTAAACACAGCTTACATATTAGTATACAGAATACAATTAAAACACACCTTAAATATTGGTATAGAAAATACACCTAAAAACACAACATATAAATATTGGTATAGATAATTAACTTTAAAACGCAGATTATATATTAGTATAGATAATTAAATTTATAACGCAGATTATACATTGTTATAGATAATTAACTTTACAACACAGCTTATATATTGGTGTAAAATCTATAAAAGCGATTTTACGACCTGTTTAAAAGAGATCTTGACGGACAATTATAAGCACGCGTTCTCTGCTGTTCCATTCGGATCGCTTCACGTAAGAGGGTGCTAGAGCGTCGGGAAACCCGTCGGTCGCAGGGTGCAATTTAAACCGGTCGGCTCCATACTGTGTACTGCAAAGCATACTGCAAAGTTCCACGCTTATCATTACAGCTGATACTTTCAGGAGAGGGGGGGGGGTCTGTAGGTTTAATCTCAGAGGATTTCTAAGTTATCTTTAAAATGGGGGTCAAATCATAGATTTTACAATTGATTTAGATAATAAACTTTGAAACACAGATTATATATTGGTATAGATAATTAACTTTAAAACACAGCTTATATATTGGTGTAAAATCTATAAACGCGATTTAACGACCTGTTTAAAAGAGATCTTGACGGACAATTATAAGCACGCGTTCTCTGCTGTTCCAGTCGGATCGCTTCACGTACGAGGGTGCTAGAGCGTCGGGAAACCCGTCGGTCGCAGGGTGCAATTTAAACCGGTCGGCTCCATACTAAATTAGACTTCGGGGTTGCACTGGAAGTAATGTACACTTGTGTACTGCAAAGCATACTGCAAAGTTCCACGCTTATCATTACAGCTGATACTTTCAGGAGAGGGGGGGGATCTGTAGGTTTCATCTCAGAGGATTTCTATGTTATCTTCAAAATGGGGGTCAAATCATAGATTTTACAATTGATTTAGATAATAAACTTTGAAACACAGATTATATATTGGTATAGATAATTAACTTTAAAACGCAGCTTATATATAGAGAGAATACAGCTAGATTATAAACTCACCAAGTGTCCAATGGTTGTCCAGGAAAAGATTAACAGCAGCGTATACCAACAGAACTGCTACAGGGTCGTTAAACAAGCGGAGTACAAACACAGAATGAATTCTAGAAGAAATATTAAATAATTTGGGGGAAATTTATGTTCATAAAAATGATAAAAAAAAAATCATACAAATTGATAAAAAAATGTTATTCTATTTTCTATTCTATTCGATTTTAAAGAATAATAATAAATAAAAATAAATAATTTCACCTGTAAGATGTAAGGGACATAATAACGTACAAGTACGGAGGAATCTTCCTAGTCTTCACTGTTCACACAACACATTATTAAATGCAAAAAACAGAATACAAAATCATCCATAAATATACTTTATAAATCTATAATCTCTTCGTTCATATATATATATATATATATATATTTATCAACTATAGCTGGTCAAACGGCTGGACCAAATGGGCATTTTGAGGAAACCCTTGAGTACCGAGAGGATATGATAGGCTAAAAAATCTATTTTTTTTATAATCAAAACTTTTTTATTTTAAGTTTTTAAATTTTTTTTCAAAATTAAAATTTTTTTATAAGTGTTACTAAAATTCCATGGGCCACGCCAGGACTTCAGCTGCTATTATCTTAAAAATGACTTAATTTGTGTTCTGCCTAAAATTCTGAATATGAGAGCCAGATTAACTACGTACAGTACACAAAATATGTACTGGGCTAGCAGTACATTCTTCCCCTGTAATGTTTACTTAATTTAACAACTTATTTTATGTGATTAAAATGAGGACAACTAAAAATAATGAATACATTGAAAAGAATATTTTCTTGAAAAATCATTGCCCCCTTTTGAACATCATTTTCCCCCCAGAACTTAAGTATATATTATATTAAAAAAAATTATAATGGCGGGCGGGGCGGCCAAAAAATCTGTTTTGGGTATTATTCGCTGAATTGGGAAAAATAAATGATTTTAAGGGAAAAATAAAAAATGTTGGGTAAAAAGTATGAAATTTCCCCCCCCCCCCCGGGATCTTTACAAATCATTTCCCCCTTTAAAATGTGTGTGGACATTGTATATCTAATATAGTATCAATCAGTTCTGAGGATATATTACATTTTGATGCAGATCCGTCCGTTAAAAAACACAATATTTATCAGTTTTTAAACAAAAATTTCACTTTTTGTTTCTTATTATAAACTTATTATTTTTAACAATATTATTAATTTAACTTTGATTACCTGAGAAGTTATAAAATATAAAATCATATAAATCCACACAAAACCCCCCGGATACACCAGGGGACCTGAAAATATCAAGCATTAAAGGGAGTGTTCGCGAAAAATGAAATTTGATATTTCATACTAGTTTTCATTTTGTTTTTTAAATTATATTTAGCTTACAACTTGTTTTCGAACATTCCTGGAAAATATGAAAAACATGGACGCCATGTTATTCGGTATGAGACGTCTTTAACAATTTTCTTCTTATAGACGCAACAGATAGAAGTAAGATTAGTAGCGATCAAAAGCGCTTTTTTATCGCATTAAGCCTATACCCCCTTTCATTTTACGCAAACACTCCCTTTAAGGATCTACGATATTGTTATTGTTGAATAATCCTCAGGAACCCATGTAGAGTTATAATGAGGATGTCTTTGATTGAAGACTTGGAGTTGCTGATGATGGTTCTGATAGACTTTGTAACTGGTAATCGGATACTGTCTGAATTTATCATAGCTTCTCTTGAAGATATTCACTGTAGTTGACTGTTTAACTTCTTGTGGGATAGAGTTAAAAGTAGAAAAAAACTCGATTTGTTACCAAGTTGATCAGGATAAATATATATTTTGGACAGCTTACAAGTCGGTCAGCCACTAATTTTGTTATTTTTTGTTAATATAACGTGTTTACTGTATAGATATCAAAAATCTATAAAATTTGTCTCTGCTTTATGTGTGTTTATTAATACCTGTATCTCCCTTTAATTGTGAATAATCATAAGTTCCATTTTTTACTCCCTCAACCTCCTAAAAAATACAGCGTCACTAATCTTCTTAAATCTATGAGAATTCTAAATAATTTTAGACTTGCCATTTTAAGTTACAAACAAATAACATGCATCCTAATTTATAAAGAATAATATTTTAGGAAAATAATGGGGTTTATCTAGGACTAAATAATACAATATACTTTTCAATTTAAGACAGACGCGATAAAAAAGGAGAAGTAACTTGCAAAGCTTTTAGTATCCGTCTTTATTATTTTTCTTCGATTTTAATGAAAAAATTGTGTCGAAGAACTAATAAAATCAGATTTTTATTATTTATACAGAGATGGAGTTTAAAGAATTTGAGCCGCGGTTTAAATCTGACAAAATCTGGTTTAAATTAAGCGGCGGCTTAAATCTTGAAACATTTGATACAATTTTAAGTGGAACCAACCATATTTAAGCCGCGGCTTAAATTTAAAACGCCGCTCAAATACTTTAAATTCGGCCACTGATAATTATTTTTTTTTTAAATTAGTTAAATAACAAAAGTGACATTCTAACATTCATCTGCACAATGATAGCATGTGAAGTACTTCGCAATAGGCGTTACAACAATTATTTCCACGAAGGAAAAATTACAAATGAAGGTAGAATATTCCCCGCGAAACAAAATCTTGAATTCTAAACCTACCTGCATGTAAGCTATCCAGTCAATCTCAGTATACTTCACTTTATTTATAACAATTATATTTATTACAATCTCTGGAAACATATTCTTTTATTAAAAAATATTCACATTTTCCTCGCAGACTATATATTACGTAAATAATAATTACAAATTTTAAACCTTGGGATTTTTTATAAACTTTTCATGAAAAAACTCATTCGTTTTCGTTTGAGGGGTTTTTAGGAGAGAGCAAATTAATTAAAAATTAAATTCAAGAAATAATCTAATTCTTTAATTCTGGTTTGACAAAAGAACAACAAGCGGATTCATAACGAACCGCTTCCAGCATTTACGAGAACAATGAGGCAGATATAGACGTATTCTAACTTCTGAACATATTTATTTCTGTTCATTTTGGTAGTTTCTATTTCTGAAGTATGTACACTTCTCACTTAAAGAGAAAAATCAGTGGAAAATTATTAATATTTAGCTGGAAAAACTTCTATATCCTCAATCTTGCAACGGTTTTGAGGGTACCGCTATCAATCCGACATGACACTTAGAGGATACCTTCAAAGCGTGGAAGATTCATTTAAAAAAAACATAATAGAATATCAGAATATGTTGCCTATGATGATGAGAACGCCAGCAGCTAGATAAGCATATTCAGGATCTAGGAAAAGTTTCTTCAGATCACTGTAACTGTTCACTCCTGAAATTAATCCGGCAAAAAATGGTTTCGCGGATTTTTTTCTCGACCGTCCAGGCGCCGCCATTTTCGAACTCTGAAAAAATTGGCTTAATTCATCTGTTTTGTACATATTTATTACAGAATTACAAAACAACTTCAAGATCGAACAATTATGTTCAAATGCGTGATACTTTATACAATGTACTTGTGTTTTTGAGATAAAATAAACTCGTTTTTATTTATTGTCAAAAAAAACAAATTGTTGATCAATGTCGGAATACCCTTAAAAAATTTTTTTTCGGGAATTAAGGTACATCAATCTAATGAATTGGACCAGCAAGGGCCCGCAGATATATAGTAGAGATGGTCCGCTAGACTTTAGCTTAACCAGGTCCATAAATCTTATGAATTGGACCAGCAAGGGCCCGCAGATATATGGTAGAGGTGGTCCGCTAGACTTTAGCTTAAGCAGGTCCATAAATCTTCAGAGTTCGGTCCATAGACGTAGATGCGATAAACCTGAAAGTAAAAAAATAAATATTATAAAAAAATAACGATAGCAAAATATAAGTGTAGAAAATAAATTGAAAGGCAAATAGTTGCAGATGCCCAGGGGGAAAACATTTAATATTGGACATCCACTGGCATAGTTCCCGGTCTTATTGATACCTTCTACCCAAATGTTCAAACATCTCTATAAAAATTTGGAACAAAACCCCAAAACGAACAAAATCAAGGGAGGGGGATGATTTTGGATGATTTTTCCAAAAAATATACACCCTTTGTAAATTCTAAGAATTGTTACCTGGAGTTGTCTCCAAATCTGACTCCTGTAGCGGTGGCTGTATGATCTTGCATAACTAGCAACTCCGTCCACTGTTTACATAAGTATACCCTAAACACAAATATGTAAAGTTATTATTAAGTATGGATTTTGGTACATTATTTATGCCTGATGGCTTCAAACCGGTGCTGCATGCACGGTTCCAAATACCGAACTGCATGTATGTAACGTTAAAAAAGTATAATTTTATGGTTTCTAAAGCATTATTATTATAATTAACAGACAACCAATGCATTCGGCGAAATCTTATCATATAAAATCAATAATCTAGTATTGTACACTAAATATGTACATATATGTATGCAGTACTGTACGAATATATTACCTAACATCAGTACCAGCCACAGCTAGGTATGTACCGGAGGTATCGAAGTTGATGTCACGAACCTATGAAAAAAAAGAAATTATCTTTGCTGTCTTACGATGGCGACTTTTAAAATATTTTTTTTTTACTGTTTTGCATACTTTGTTCATGGATCTTGAATTTTGCATGAACCTTTGTGTCGAATTATAAATATGCATTTAACAATTTTTATGGTTTTTATCCTTTAACAAATTCTAATTGGTGTTGAAGAATGATTTGTATTACAAATGGAAATTTACATTACTAGTACAACATTAGAGAGAATATCCACTTATCAATCAACTAATCAACTTATTTCAATCCATCTAATAAAACAATACATTCGTTTATATGTTCCCTATAGCCGGCCAAACGGCTTGACCAAATGGGTTCATATTTTTTTAGTAAACTCATGGGGAACCCGGGGGTTACATAGGCAAAAAAAAACAATCTTTTTTCTTCAAAACTCTTAGTTTTTTTTTAATTTGATTGAAAAATTTGACGGTCAATCCCGTGCACTTCAGCTAGTTTTTTTTTATAAAACTGTTTGAAAATGTGTCAAATCAAATCAGATAAGTGTGAATTGACTTCCTCCTGTCAATTTTCAAAACTGCAGTAAAACTACTAAATGAGCATGAAAATGTTCGAATAATATTTTTAAAAATAACCTCATATCCTTCATCCAGCTGCAGAGTCTTGAAGTTCTTCAACTTACGCAAATCCCAAAGCTTGACACAACTGTCATCTTAAAAAATAATTGTTTAGTTATTATTATTTGACGATTAAGAATAGGAACACTGAACATTAAATGAAAATTGTACATTGTATTAGCAGTTACAATTCAACTTATAGAAACCTTTCTCTATGAAACGATAATCTCGATTATTAACTTTAATAATTATTAGGGCACGTTTGGAATGGAGGATAGTAAAAAATTTATTAAATAAGTCTCCGGTATGGCGAAAAGTTAAGATCAAAATCATCAGGATATATATATTTAAAACCGAGTGCTGACCTGCAGCAGTGGCCAGGTAGTAACCGTTCTCAGAGAATGCAAGAGCAGAGATCTGTCCAGTATGTCCAGGGAAATTGGCAACATTAGTTCCCTCCTACAATCGATCAATCAATTAATTAATTAACCAACCAACCAACCAACCAACCAATCAATCAATCAATCAATCAATTATTATTTGAACAAAACCTTGGAATATCAATAAGTTAGCAAGTTGATCATTCAATTAATCATTAATGATGCTAACTTGACGACAACTTTTTGGGTTACCCACATTCAACTGATCCGCTAGGTTTTGATTCAATTATAGAATTTTGTATATATATATATATATATATATATATATATTAATAATAATAATATACCTTGAGATCCCAAATCTTGATGTTAGCATCAGCAGTTCCTGTTCCCACAAGAAGACCGTCAGGATGGAACTGGGCGCAAGTCAGCGCTACTCCACCACTCTAAAATATTTTAGTTAATGAAAAAAATGCTTAAGCGTTGCAATACTAAATATTTGTCAGAGTAATTCATTTCTACCTCTCATAACGTGAGCGGGGGGGGGGGACAGTTTAAAGCATTTATTTTGGCAGCGATTGTTATGATTATTAATTAAAAGACGAGTCAGTGTAATTGGGGCTGGGTTTTCTGTCCAACCTGTGTTTCCACGAAATACTATCTAGATTTCTAAACTATCCCACAAAACCATAGGCATTGTACACTAAAAAGTTTTGAGGAAAATAAATTTGTACTTAGTTCCAGGTGAAAGTATTTTTGTTCAATCCTCACCCTTGAGAAAACCTTAAAATCCTTCCTTGTTATCCCAAGATACTAGATTAACAGACCTAATGTCAAAGAACTAGTTAAAATCCTACCTGGTCGTTAATCATGGCTACGTGGTCGTTAACCCGGAATACTAGACGACCAGACCTGGTGTCAAGAGAGCTAATTATAATCCTACCTGGTTAACCCTGGATATTAAGACGACCAGACCTGGTGTCAGAGAACTACTTATAATTCTACCTGGTAAACCTTGGATTCTATTTTACCAAACTAGGTGTCAGAGAACTAGTTAAAATCCTACCTGATTAACCCTGGATACTAGACGATCAGACCTGGTGTCAGAGAACTAATTAAAATCCTACCTGGTCGTTAACCCTGGATACTAGACGACCAGACCTAATGTCAGAGAACGCCCAGCATTGATCTGTAGAGGTTGTCAGGATGTAATCACCTAAAGAAATAAGTTTTAAGTAAAATATCTTTAAAATATATTTACTTTATCTTGTTTTTTTCACTAATGAACTTTCAGTAGCTCAAAATAATCAGTGATGGGTCACTAAAGAACCACGAGTACCTGTAGCGTGAAGGGATAACCCAGTGATAGGTCCTTCATGAACCTTCAGTAGATGCATTGTCTGTGCGGTCGGAACGTTCCAAACTCTAAAATAATCAGTGTTACATGCAAAAAGCCCGCACAAAAAATACCAATAATTGTCATTATCAAAATATGAGAGCTCATATTACTGTCGGAGGAAATTCATGGATGAATTCACTGATAACTATAACAATTATATTTTATTTGTTTTATTAAATTGTATTGTATAAAGCTTTGTACCTGACTGTAGCATCATGAGAACCAGTGATAGCAGTATCCTCAGTAGGATGATATACAACATGGTTAACTTTCTTGGTATGTCCTTTCAATACAGCAACAACCTTATCAAAATTAAAATTAATTTAATTTTTTTACAACGGCCACGTATTAATAAAAAATGATAATTAAATACTATAGAATAGTATATTATGCGTAGGAAGAAAGTGTAATAATCAAAATTATTGTTATAATATTAAAAGAAAAACCGTGGAATAATTTTGAGTATTCACCTGTTCAAGATCCTTGTTGAAGACGGTAGCATTCTTATCCGCTCCTCCAGTCAATATCTTGCTAGTATCCTTAGCAAATATATCCAGAGCCAGGATACCTAAACAATATATAGTAGAGAATATATATCCAGAGCCAGGATATCTAAGCAATATATTAGAGAATATATGCAGAGCCAGGATACGTAGACAATTTATTACAGAATAAATCCAGAGCCAGGATACCTATACAATATAGTAGAGAATATACTAAGCAATATGTTAGAGAATATATGCAGAGCCAGGATACCTAAACAATATATAGTAGAGAATATATATCCAGAGCCAGGATATCTAAGCAATATATTAGAGAATATATGCAGAGCCAGGATACGTAGACAATTTATTACAGAATAAATCCAGAGCCAGGATACCTATACAATATAGTAGAGAATATATCTAAAGACAGGACCCTGAACAGTGTATTAGAGAATATATTCAGAGTCAGGATGCCCAAACAATATAGTAGATAATATATCCAGAGCCAGGATACATAAACAATAAACGAGAGAATATATTCAGAGCCAGGATATATATACAATATATTATGGAATATATCCAGAGCCAGGATACCTAAACAATATATTAGAGAATATATCCAGAGCCAGGATACCTAAACAATATATTAGAGAATATATCCAGAGCCAGGATACCTAAACAATATAGTAGAGAATATATACAGAGCCAGGATACCTTAACAATATAGTAGAGACTATATACAGAGCCAGAATACCTAAACAATATAGTAGAGAATATATACAGAGCCAGCATACCTAAACAATATATAAGAGAATATATTCAGAGCCAGGATACCTAAACAATTAATAAGAGAATATAGAGCCAGAATATCTAAACAATTTATAAGAGAATATATTCAGAGCCAGGATACCTAAACAATATATAAGAGAATATATACAGAGCCAGGATACCTAAACAATTTATAAGAGAATATATTAAGAGCCAGGATATCTGAACAATATATAAGAGAATATATCCAGAGCCAGGATACCTAAACAATTTATAAGAGAATATATTAAGAGCCAGGATATCTAAACAATATATAAGAGAATATATACAGAGCCAGTAACCCTAATCAATATATAAGAGAATATATCCAGAGCCAGGATACCTAAACAATATATAAGAGAATAAATCCAAAACTAGAGCATATCAGATGTTACATCAATGAGCACGTCTATTGTCTAAAGCTAAAGGTTAGAACTATTGATTGAGATATTGCCAATCTGGAAACGCCTGAAATCGAAATCCACAGAAAAAACTTATGATTTGAAGAAGTTCTAAATTCGTATTAAACAGCTGACTCTTATTTTCACGATCTTCCATTGACTCAGATTTATTTTGTAGCTTTTGGTTGGTTGGGGGGAGGGGTCCTTTTATTTTTCCTAGAAATCCGCTCAACCCGTTGTGCTTTCTGAATGAAATAACAATGCATAAGGTTCGACCTCTGATTTGAGATAAGTTTACCTGGAACTGAAGCAGAGTGTAGACCAGGATGAGAGGATTGAGTAACAAAGCTGGAGATACTTTCCGCAGACATTAATTCCTAGAAGAACAAGTTTAATGGGAATAAAACTAAAACTTTACCTTGAAAAGGCAAAATAAACACAAGGTGGTTAATCAGGGGATTTTCTTTTCATAATCAGAACAGAAATTTTATGAATGAATATTAACATTATCTGACATGCGTGAACTCTCTTTTAGATACTTCAAAACCATAAAAAAAAATTTAAATGTTATTTTAAATGTATAATCCTGTTGTTAATTCATGTGTTGTAATAATACGTCTACTCTAAATCTCAATTTGAAAGCTATGTTTGCAAGAAAGGTAAAAAGTTTAAAATGAGAATTTAATGAAATCAAATATCCCTGAATGAAGATTACCTGAGGAACAGTTCTTCCTCTTCTCTTCCTCTCCTGTGTTAGAACAGTTGCCTTCTCCTGCAACTTCTCTAGGATCTCACCAGTCATGCCTACACGAACATTATTCAATTATCATTCAAGAATATTTTATTTTTAAGGGACTGGATGTTTTTACAAGTGAACTGAAGAGTTGCATGTAGGATTTTAAACGATATTCATAAAGGTTCGTCTGAAAAAAATCTAGGTATGTATTGTCGTTTTTCTAGCTTTAAAAATGTTAAATTCTGTTTCCTTAATACCATATTTCCGCAAGTCGTTTTTAACGAGACCCCACAAGCGAAAATTAACTGTTACTAGGGCGTGCCACTCAGCCAGTGCTTAGAATCCAGATCCGTTGGATCTACAAAATTTTGGCTTCCTGGATCCGGATCCGCAAAAGTATGCGGATCCAGGGATCGGATCCGGATCCGCAAAAGTATGCGGATCCACGGATCAGGATCCCTCTTATTCTCAAAACTCAAATCTGAACTATTGAAAAAAGAGAGATTATAAAAATTTCCTGATTTCTGAAATATTTATCAAGTATTAGTATAAAAGTAAGACAAAAAATGAAAATTCTGCTTTTTAAAGAAATTCAGTAAATCTTTAGTGGGGATCCAGGATTCGGACCGCATCAAAAATAAATTGCACTCAATAATTTAAGGGTCATTTGGAATTACGTCTGAAGTTGTTTTAGGAAGATAAATCATAAACTAAATATCTCTTAATATGATGCAGAGTTTTTAACCGGGAAAATTAGAATAAAATTAACAGTTTGGGTTTTAGCAGCTTACCTGATTCTTCAACCGGTTTCTGCACATGAACTGGAGTTTCAGCATGTACAGGTGTGGCAGGAGCATGTGCCGGAGTGTGTAGTGGAGTAGCACCACCAGCCTGGGGTTTGAGAGTAGCCAACGCTTCACGCGCAGCAGTAACCTCCTTGTTGAGACGCGCAATAACTCTGCAGGCGGCATCGTGCTGGTATAGCGCGTGGGACAGTTCTTGGCGCGCAGTTTGAAGCTGTTGGCGGAGCGTGAAACTGTGTAGCATAACAGCATCCCATTCATCCTATATAAGACATAGAAAAAGCTGAGTAAAGCTGTAAGTATCTATTAATGCAACTGCCTTGTGTTATCATGTGGGAAAATGTTTTTTTATCGGGGCTTTTTCTTTAAATTGTCTGTTAAAGTTAAAATTTCCTAAATGATTATACAAGAACGGCCAAAATAATTGCAGGGAAAAGCTAGAAGAAAAATGATAACAATCCTATGGCTGCGTAAAAAGAGAGAAACCTGGGGATAAAAAGTATTCCAAATAAAGATAAATAATAGATTATTTATAAAAATGAATTTTGTTTTTAAAAGTTAATTGAAGTAACTTAGTTTTTTAAACGTTTAAATGAAAATACCTGTAGGGATTTGAGAATGGCTGGTATACTAGTTGCACTGGGAGGTTTAGGTTTCACTAGAGGAGAAACCTTTATCTCAACCAACTGCTCTTTACTCAATGGTTCCTTTAAATAATTCAATTTATTTAATCATCAGAAAAATAGACTTCTGCATTCTGCTATTACAAGTTCTGAAATATAAGTAAAAATACAGAGTTTAATTCATTGGAAGATCGAACTTAAGAAAAGTATAAAACTTTTATTCTTCAATCTAGTTCAAGTTAACTATTTATTAAATACAAACCTTAGAGATTGGATCTGTTCCGTTCTCATCTATATACTTTTCTATCAGTCTCCTCTCATAAACTTGACCTTAATAACAATCATATAAAAGAAAAAATATTTTAAACTCTTCCACAAAAGGTTGTTTTTGTAAATCAGTAAATGGAAACATGAACTAAAAGTAATTAGAGTTAATAAACCCTCATCACTTAATTTTTTTTTATGTATCAATTAATGGCAGGGTCTTAATTTTCCATAATTTAAGTAAAGGAAATATTTATTCAAAATTAAACTGAAAAAAACCATAAAAATACTCCCCCCCCCCAAAAAAAAAACTTCTATTTTCCCACATGGCTGAAGTTCAACGTTAATATAATTATGTGATGGGGGAAGATAAAAATGTCATAACACCTGATACTGGAGACACTACCGGACTCTCCGGGACCTCACTGGATATTGCGCAGATAAGAGACGCCATTTTAGTTCAGGCAAATCTGGATGTAAACAATCGTTATTGAGTGGAATAAGGAAAAAAGGAATTAATATTTTCATTTAATTGCAATTTTTCATTAAATTTAGCCGTAATGTAACAGCCAAGTAAAAAAAATTGTAAATCGGAACTTAGCAACGATGTACTGAATGTCGAGCAAAAACGGGAAAACTAAATGATCCATTTTACAAACATCAAAATCAAAACTGTCAACAGTTACAATGTGAACATTTTCCACATTTCAGAATAAAACTGTTAAAGAAATGCGGCAAATTCTGTTTTTTGAATTTTCTGCTGTAGAAAATTTAATGTACTGCAGAAAAATAGAAAATACATTAGTGTACAGTGTTGAATGATAAAGGTACAGTACATGCGGCAAATAACAGGACGCTGTGTAACAGCAAATCCGTAGAATTTAACGTGAACTATCGCTACTAGACGAGGATGTTGAATGCCTTCTCCTCCTTGCCGGGGACCTACTCCTCTTCTTTGGTGGAGATCTTCCACCACGTCTCGGGGACCTACTCCTGCCCTTTCCAGACCTGCTTCCACGACGGGGAGGAGAACGACGGCCGCGGGGTGATGGGGAGCGACGACGACCACGAGGAGAAGGTGAACGTCTACGTCCACCACGAGGGGATGGAGAACGACGACGGCGTGGTGGGGACCTACGCTTTGGAGAGGGTCTACGCGCTGGAGCACGAGGCATCAGAACTGGAGCTGCAGTAATCTCCTGCAAATAAAATAAAGTAAAATCTAGATCAAAATTTTAGATCCTAGGATAAAATAAAAAGAACGCTTCAACTAAAGGTATCAAAAAGCATGAAAAAAAAAGAATTAGTACGGTTTGGCTGACTGAATATGGATTCACCGACAAAGGGTCAAACGACACAGGGTCAAAAGACACAGGGTCAAACGACACAGGGTCAAACGACAAAGGGTCAAAAGTGCGACAAAGGGTCAAACGACAAAAGGTCAAAATGATAAAAATATTTTTTGATTTGAATCATAGGAAAATCGCAATTTTAATCACAAAAATCCGCCAAACTTTCTTGAAGTTTTAAAACTTTAGTCTGATTCTGGCTTCCATAATGGTCGGGTTGGCAATATAATTGACCATGTGGCTGTAGCGCTCGACCCCCTAGCCTGTCCTAGCCGCAGCGCTCGGCCCAGAATTTGTCTAAAATAACCTAACCCGTGGCCGTAGCACTCGGCCCCCTAGCCCATCCTAGCCGCAGCGCTCGGCCCAGAAAGTGTCTTAACCTAACCTAACCCTAAATAATTATAAATAAATGGATATAATTGGCCATGTGGCCATAGCGCTCGGCCCCCTAGCCTGTCCTAGCCGCAGCACTCGGCCCAGAAAGTGTCTTAACATAACCTAACCCTAAATAATAATAAATAAATGGATATAATTGACCATGTGGCCATAGCGCTCGGCCCCCTAGCCTGTCCTAGCCGCAGCGCTCGGCCCAGAAAGTGTCTTAACATAACCTAACCCTAAATATTAATAAATAAATGGATATAATTGACCATGTGGCCATAGCGGTCGGCCCCCTAGCCTGTCCTAGCCGCTGCGCTCGGGCCAGAATGTACCTAACCTAACCTTAAATAATAATAAAAAAATACTAACCGTCAAAATAAAATAAAAAATTGCCCTTTTGTCGCATTTTTTGACTCTTTGTCGTTTGACCCCGTGTCGTTTGACCCTTTGTCGCGTTTTTGACCCTTTGTCGTTTGACCCTGTGTCGTTTGACCCTGTGTCGTTTGACCCTGTGTCGTTTGACCCTGTGTCGTTTGACCCTGGGTCGTTTGACCCTTTGTCGGTGAATCTGAATATGAATATATCATCGCCTCAATTAGGGTGAAAAATACAAAAACTGACAATTTGCAATAAAATATTATCTGCACCCCGGTTACGAATTTGCTACGGTATCATTAAAAAAGAAACTATCAAATTAGTTGTATTTTTACCTGTCCGTCAATTTGTCCACCATCCATATGTTTCATGGCATTCTGTGCTTCTTCAGGAGTACTATACTCAATATAAGCAAATCCTATAAATAAAAAGATTGAAACATGATAATAAAATTGAAAATCTAACATTTATGCTTAGAAAAATTAGAGCCAATAGAAATTTTTCTTTTAGTAAATGACATTCCTTTGTAAAGAGCTGACTTTCATATTCAGTAAAAATAAGTTTCAGAATAATTCATCCACAATTGTTGCATCGTACCAAAAAAACAGCTTTTTATAAAGGAATATCTTATGTGGTTTNCACCACCAGACTTCTCCTACCTTTATTTAGCCATGGTCTTGCTTTGTCGTTCCCGAACTCAATGTCCTTGATCTTTCCAAAGGTGGAAAATATCTCGTCCAGGTGATCCTACAATATTCAATTATTCGTAAGTTTCGCCCAAAAAATGTTTTAAATTAATACTATTAAAAAGGGCGGTAAGGGAGGGTGGGGGCTGAAATATATTAAATTTTCAATCAAACTTCTCGCTGCAAAAGCATGTCAGCCAACTTACAGAAACATCGGAAACATCGGATGTGTGTTGCAGATTGATTAATACTTAATAGTTCCATTCTTTCTATACCATCCTTTCGTTAACACTACCTTTTATTAAGAAAAGAGGTGAACTGTTACCTTGACGACATTCCTGGTGAGCCTGCCGATATGGATCTTGGTTGGTTGAGGAGTTCCAGACCTACCCCTAGCTTTCCTACCCTTGGACTTAGACCTAGAGGCGGACTTACGAGATGGACGCTTGTCACGGGACTTGGACCTTGAAACAGAGATTGATTAATAACAAAAAAAATTTCTACATTTCCTCAAATTTGGGGTGGTGCATCCAAAGGTACCCGAGCAATTTAATGACGGTATGAGAGTATTGTGTATTAAGAGTTTTTAAATAAATTCCAGTACCTGGAGGGAGATTTCCTTTTTTTAGCTGGAGACACAGAGCGCTTCTTAGGAGACGGAGACCGTTTACGCGCAGGGGGAGAACCGGATCTTTTGCGAGCAGGAGGAGAGCCACTGCGCTTGCGCGCGGGAGGAGATCCAGAGCGTTTACGAGCGGGTGGTGTTCCTTTCTTTGCTACGCTTCCTTTCTTCTCCCCTTTCTTCTCGGGTTCTCCTTTCTTTTCTACTTTGTCGCCACCCTTCTTCTTTCCTCCTTTCTTCTTGTCTGAAGAAAAAGTCATATTTATTTTCAAGTGCAAGGAATATAATAAAACCAGCTATAACCAGCTAAAACTCAGCTATAAGAAATTGAAGAACCAGAACTTTCCCGACCCCCTTCTTTGTTATTGACCTACAGTAAAAGGTTAACCCCGTACAAAATAGATTTTATTGAAAATTAAGTGAAAGAAATGTAAGTTCCAAATAATAGGTTGAAATAATTATTCTACCTCTAGATCTGGATCTACTTGAGTCTGAACTGCTGCTACTAGATCCACTGCTGCTGCTTGAACTACTACTTGAGCTGCTTTGCTTCCTGTGAAAATAAATCAAATGATAAACTATTAAATACAGTTAAAGGGGTTTCCAATTAGACAGAAATTACTTTAAACCGAACGCAGTGTGAAACATCAATTGATTGCAAAATATTTTTATGTAGGCAGTTTGTAATTCTTCTTGCCAAAAGTTACTTTATTTATGAAAAAGGTTCATTCATTATTAATTAAATTTATTAATAGTTAAATAATATGGATAATAAATACCTCTTTTTCTTGTCTTTGGTTTTATCCTTGGAACGTCCCTTCCTCTCATCCTCACTGCTAGAAGAGGAGGAGGAGCTCCGCCCTCTTTTCTTCTTCTCCTCCTTATCCCCAACAGGTCCTGTACCTCCTCCCATTGTCTGAAATAAGTCAACAGTTACAAAGTTTGCAAAAATAACTAGTTTAAATAATAAATATATTATGTTATCTACGTGATTTTAAGAATTTATATAGTCATCTCAGAGGTCGAAATTTTTGAGTTCAGCATCGTTTGAGATCGTTGGATCTCGATAATCATTGTGGGCACTTAAATATTAGAGGACAAATGTGTAATAGCTCTAGATATCCCAGCAGGGTTTGACCACCACGGGATATAAAAGAGGAATTAAGTTAAACTGTAGGCCTGCATAACATGAAGATGATTGATCCCAAAATTCACAAAAGTTTTGATATCAGAAGAAGGTATATTCCTAAGTGGTCACATTTACACCCCTCAGCTTTCTACATTAGGTTAATAAAATGTTACTTCATACGTTTTAAAACAAATGTAGTGAATTCGATCAGATATGATTCACTATAAAGCATAAAAATAATAAAAATCTGTTAGAATCCAAATTGATTTCGTTCACATTGTCATTTTTTGAACACATGATTTCTGAAATGAAAGGGTTAACACATGTTATATCTATGATTTTTAAATTATTAATGGAAACCTTGTTTGTTTAAATAACAAATTTTAATTTACAATATGAATGGCTTGCCTTAAGATAGTTCATCTCCCATGTAGTCGACATATCTATTCGTTCCTACAATCTGAAACAATGGATAATCTAGTTAAAACAACGATAAACGATAAGAACGTCACATTTAGTAAATATTACATAACAAGTTACAAAAACTGTCAAGATATTTAGCTCTGCGCAAACAAAAATTATGACAAATTGACATAATGGTTTGTGTATAAAACTTCGATTATGGCAGAAGATAATAATAAACCACTAGATCTCGTTGATCCCCGCATAGCTGAATTTAAACTGAGTAATAACTTAATAAAAATAAAAAGTTGTTTGAATACACTTCACGGCGTGTCAACGGACCAAAACATTTTTATTTCGTGACCACGAACTTTATGATTTTGATTCAATTCTGTATGCATGTAAGGGAGGAGTATAAGGAAGGTAGAGGGTAAGGGAGGAGTATAAGGAAGGTGGACAAGGGGAAGGTAATACATGAAAATTCTTTTTATCTCTGAATTTGAAGAATTTAAACAGAATTCTAACAAAACAACAAAATCTAACTAATTAGAACTTCTAAAAATACTTGTAGTTTGAAAAGTAGCACTTCCGGCAGGAATTTAATAATACGAAAACGATTTTGTTTGTTTGCACGCCGCCATGTTGCCGCGCCGGAACACAAATCAAACAAACGCGGCATTCAAGCTTAGAGCTGTCAGGGGTAAATATACACACTTAGGCTTAAAGTATTCAGGGATAAATCATTAAGACAAAAAATAGGCATAGCCCGTAGGGGGGAAGGCTTTGCTTCCTGACATTTCCCAACTGCCGTGGGCGTGTTTTCTTTTCCTTTCTTGTAATTCATTTTAATAGCTTCTCTTAACAGATTGTAGTGCTATAGTGACACCTTGCTGAGGGAGGGAAGGCAAACTCCCCCGCACAGCTTCCGAACCTCCTCCAAACAGTCTTCCGGGAGGGATCTTCCATTTATAATCGTCAATTTCTACTGAAAATGGGACTAATTTAATTATTTAAAGTGGAGAGTTATGAATAAATCGAAATTTAATCTAAATTTAATCAACAAAATTAATTATTTCCTATGAAAGTATAAATCAAAAGTATTCAAAGCAATTTTAGAAAAAAAAAACATAAATATCAAAAGTATATACTTTGTACTTTGGCAAGTTTGAATGTTAAATAATAACTTGCAATATACATTCATATAACAAGATATTACTTATAACCTCTTTATCACGTGGTCAGTTCATTTAAAGAAATTATTAAATCTAGCAAGAGAAAATTTTACACTGAAAAAGAGTTTAAAAACATTGATTTTTATATTAAAGCTAAGAGAGTTATATTACCTAATCCTGCATGTTTAAATTTTTGATTTTTTCTTTTTAAAGTCAATTCTCATCAAAAGATTATTTTTTGAGCAGTCTTTGGTGGGGTTCGAACAGGGTTTTGCGGGATACGAGCAGGGTTTCGCGGGGTTCAAACAGGGTTCTGCTAACTACCTGGGTTTGAACAGGATATTGCAGGGTTCATGGCCGCATGCCCCCCCCCCCCCTCCCTAATTTATGTTTACAGAACAAATGCAGAATGAAAGATATTGGTTGTATAAGCTGTTGCCTCATCTGTTATGAAGGAGTAGAATTTTGCAGATTTAACCTCATTCAGAATAGATTTTAGGACAAAGTCTTCACCTTTATTCAAGCAATAATTTAATGTATCATCAAGTAGTTTTCAACCCCCTCCCCTCCCCCACACATTAATCCCTTCTTTCAGCTTGTTTTTGAAGCATTTCTCTGATTGAAAAGCTCAATAAACTAATGTTCAATTATCATTTTTTTTATTTTACAATCACCCTACTAACCCGAAAACTTAAAAATACGTATGACATAAGTATATATACATATTTTTAGGTTTTGGAATATGTAAAAATACGTAATTTCCATACGTATTACATACATATTTTCGTAACCATTTCTTTGGTAAAAATGCGTATTTGACAAACGTAAAAATGCATAAGTAAAAATCCTAAAAATCAGGAATTTTTAGGTTTTTTCTATACGTAAAAATACGTATTTAATATCTGTAAAAATACGTATAGGAATAACATAAAAATATGTATGTAAAAAACCTAAAAAATCCAATGAATCAGGATTTTTTAGGTTTTTCCTATACATAGATTTAGGTTTTGAAACAATCCTAACATTTCTTAATTTTTGGAATTTTTAGGTTTTACCTATACGTAAAAATACATATTTTTCAAGTTCTAAAACCAAAAGAAGTGGACTATGATTTTGCATGGGCATTGTTCTCTGGCTTATTCGGGGGGGGGGGGGTATGGGGGCTGAGCCCCCCCCTTATGAACTCTTATGAATTCAGGAGGTTTTCAGGGGGTCTTAAAACCCCCTGACTAATTCTTCAAAATTTCGTAAATCCATAATCATTGATATTAATTATTTTCAATCCAATCCAATATTCTGTCTACAGAATTCACACCATCAACATTCCTTCATCTGCATCCATCTAAATCAACATTCATATATGCATATTGTCTGTATTTTCAACAATTACATATTTAATATGTGTTATACTTTATACAATTACCATTTTACCTGTTACAAGACTGTCAAAGTAAAACTTCTATTTATCAAAAAATCGAGAATTTACTGACATTGATTCTAATGAAAACATCAATTTACTTTGATAGCAATTTTGAAACATTGCATTTTCCAAAATGTTTGCATTAAATTTCTTACATAACAATTCTCTTAAAAAGAGTACAAAATATTTTCCAATTCTAACTTAAAAATGCATTTTTGTGCAGTTGAGGTTTTGTTAATATATATACAATTAGAAAAATTATTTGGTATGAAATTTACGAAAATATACGTATCTTTAAGTTTGCCTTAAACTTTATAACTCTAAAAAAAAATTAAGTAAAAAAATATGTAAAAATATGTATAGTAAAAACCTAAAAAACTTTGAAAAATTTCTTGGTATGAAATTTACGAAAATCTATGAATTTTTAGGTTTGCATCAAATTTTAAAACTCTAAAAAAATACAATTTTTTAAATAAAGAAAAACCCTAAAAAATCTGTAAAAATACGTAAAATAAGAACCTAAAAGCTTTGAAAAATTATTGGTATGAAATTTACTAAAATATATGTATTTTTAGGTTTGCATCAAACTTTTAAACTCTAAAAAAATACAATTTTTAAGTAAAGAAAAAATCTAGAAAATACGCAAAAATACGTAAAATAAAAACCTAAAAAGTTTGAAAAAATTATTGGTATGAAATTTACAAAAACATATGTATTTTAAGGTTTGCATCAAACTTTGAAACTCTAAAAAAATACAACTTTTTAAGTTAAGAAAACCCCTGAAAAACACATAAAAATACGTAAAATAAAAACCTAAAAACTTTGAGATATTAATTGTTATGAAATTTACTAAAATATACATATTTTTAGGTTTGCATCAAACTTTTAAACTCTAAAAAAATACAATTTTTTAAGTAAAGAAAAAACCTAAAAAATACGTAAAAATACGTAAAAAAAACCTAAAAACTTTGAAAAATTTATTGGTATGAAATTTACAAAAATACGTATTTTTAACTAAGTTTGCATCAAACTTTTAAACTAAAAAAAAATACAATTTTTAAGTAAAGAAAAAACCTAAAAAATATGTAAAACAAAAACCTAAAAGTTTGAAAAATTTAATGGTATGAAATTTACGAAAATATATGTATTTTTAGGTTTGCATCAAACTTTTTAACTCTTAAAAAATACAACTTTTTAAGAAATGAAAAACCATAAAAAATATGTAAAAATATGTAAAACCTAAAAACTTTGAAAAAATATCTTGGTATGAAATTTACAAAATTATACATATTTTTAGGTTTGCATCAAACTTTTAAACTCGAAAAAAAATCAATTTTTTAAGTAAAGAAAAAAGATAAAAAATACGTTTCTGGAAAACCAAAGCATTTTTTTAAATATTGCTTGGTATGATAAATACGTAAATATACGTAAATTCTTTCCCAAAAGTTGAGCATACATTTATACGTAAAAATATCTATTAATATGTATACCTATTTATGACCTATATAGAGACTGAGACTTTGCTATTTTTAGGTTTTCGGGTTAGTAGGGCAGAGCTCTTAAATTACTTAAATTTGGCAAGCTAAATGAGGAAATAGTTATAGTTCAATGAGGCAAAAACATTTCAAATGAGCCAAAAAATAGTTCAAATAAGCAACAACAAAAAAAGTTCTAATGAGCAAAACAATAGATCAAACGAACAAAATATATATAGTTCAAATATGCTATGGTGTTTTAGTTGTGTTTAACTAGAGCCTTGGATTTAAAGATATCGCTTCAAAAAGATAACTTTGAGTAGGCCAAGTGTTAGTATTGGAACTAATTTCCCCTCTTATTATGATATGATGATAAATTTCCTTTTATCTCTTATACTTAATTATGAAAAACAGGCATTTTTGTAAACAAAAAGATTGAGCAACAGTTATGTCAGGTAAACCACGTCAGCATATATAAACACCCCTGAACATTCTGATCCTCTGATTGGATGAAAATATCGAATCTGTTCTCTGATTGGTGGAAACCCGGTAGTCTATGTGGTCCACTCTCATTGGAAGGAATAATTTGCCAGCAGACAAACTTGTTACAGTTGTCATCACTCATCAGTCTGATTGTGTCTGTTAGGTCTCTAAATCCATGAGATTTTTGATCTAAACGTGAATTAGGGTCTGTCCTAGAGAACGATTTTGAAATTATTATTTCAATCTTTTAAAACATAAAAAATCACTTACCGCTGTGGCCCACCCTGAAAACACTTCACAAGATAATATCCATGGCGCGCAATTTATAGATTATATAGACATTTGTACTTTTCAGAAGTAAATTTTGATGATGAGAATCCTGCTCGTTAGCCTGGTGTTGGTGCTGTTTGCCCAGGAGAGGGTACAAGGGTTGAAGGCGGGGGAGTGTGAGGTCTGCATTTCCGTCGTAGATCGGTAGGTTCTCATTCAATCTCTTCTCTGGTAGTTTCCTAGAGTTTTGGACCCCCCTGTGGCCCGATCGGTTCAGCCGTTTTGACGTTTATTGGATACAAACAGACAGACAAAAAAACAAACAGACAGACAGACAAGCCAAATTTATATATAGATAATATAATAATATTAATGAATTAATATTCTTTTATTTTTTCCTATTATTTATAAGAAACGACATTTTCAATCGACTATTTTTTCAAGAATTTTAGCATAAAAATCTAAAAAATATCTGGAAATGTTTAGGAATTCTCGGTGAGATGTCTAAACCGTTGTCTTGGGGAATGCCAAGTGATAAAGTTTGCGAAAAATTGAAGAAAAAAGACAAACAGGTAAATATATTATTTGCGCTTGTAAAACGATGCCAACAATAGATGGATGAATGAAAAAAACAAACAAAAAATATTTTTAATTTTTATTAAATTTTTGTCATCTGTTACAACCTTTCAACCACTACTGGTGGCTAGAAATTTTTCATGAATTGAGAGATAAACTAAAATAATGTTCGATAATTTGCTTTAGGTCGTCTTTCTGGTCTGCAACTATACAAAATACAATCATGTCTTGGGCTTGGTCTAGTTTTGATCAGTTATCCTCTTTTCTTTAAACATTTCTTTTGTGTTGTACTATTGGGTTTGAAAAGTTTTTAGACCTCCAAAGAACTTAATTCCCTCGCTTCTAGCTCTTTCAGCGGTATCCATTAAACTGGATAATAGTTCTAAATCAGGGCACGTGTTTGTAACTCCTCGACATAAACCCCAGGCTAGATAGTAGACACAGACCATGGCACAATCGATTAATCACACTTATCTGAAGATTTTTGTGGTTCGGCCAGGCACAGGCACAAGTACACACACAAACACAGTTTAACGTTTATACGGAGTAAGATATACTATTAATACCCTCTACACTTCGTACATTCTCCAGCATTGATGTTGCTGATTCAAAACATTCATCAGTGTTCCTCCTATTTGTTTGGGACTCCTCTGTCAGATTTAGAATTTGATTACTCGCATCATTAGATGTCTTCTCCAGGTCATAAATACGATTTTTTTACTTGATGTGTAGTCTCTTGGTCCATGGGGCAGCCATCAGTTTAGTTTCCTCTCGAAACAGTGTTATATCATGTAGGAGACAGGTTAGGGAGCTTAAAAAAACACTGGTCCTGGCACAAGGTTTAGATATTTAGTTTCTCCAAACTAGCTTTAAAGATGTTCAGTGTAAGTGAATCTTTTAAATCCGTTGGTATGGAGTTCCATGAGTGTGAAAATTCTGTTGGAGAAAAAATACTTTTCTTAAATTAAATCTGTCCTGGATCTTGATACCATGAGGTTCTGTACACTGTGTTTGGGTCTCGCAACTGAGGTGAACATTATAGTTGATTATACTTTATCAACACCCCTAATTATTTTTAAAGTTTGGACTAGATCAAAGCGCTTTCTTCTCTCTTCTAATGTTCTCATTTCCATTTCTTCATAGATCCTACCTATCAGTCCAACCACAAGGTTTATGGCTCTGCGCTGTACTTTTTCAAGAGTAAGAACATGAAAAAATTGTTGTCCGATGTTTTGTTAAGAAATGGTTTTTAATATTTATGTTTTATTCACATGTCATAGCGATTGTGTGCAGCTTAAGCTAGGTTGATGATTGATTGTTTCCTGTTTTTAGATTTGTGAGCTGACCTACGAGAAGCAGATTGACTTCAGCACTGTAGATTTAAAGAAACTGAAGGAAAATTTAATGAAACAAATTTTTCCTCTAACACTAACGAGATTTTCAATGCCCATACTTCAATTTACCCACAATATTTATCTGATGTTTTCAATTAAGAAAATTCTTTTACTTCAGTTGATAATCAGTTATCTCAAGTCGAGCGGGGGGTAAAATATTATTTTAAATTTTCATTGAATAAATTATTTTCAAGTCATGCATTAAAAAATGAAATCCAAAGAATGCTGTCACGTTGTCCATGATTGTTATTTTTTCGCCATTATATGTCTGATAAATTTTTNCCCCCCCCCCCTCCTGGATTAGAGTTTTCATTGTCTTAATGAAGGTGAAAGACCTGAAGAAGATCCTGAACGACTGGGACGAGAACTGCGACGGTTGTCTCGAGAAAGCAGATTTTATCAAGAAAATCGAGGAAGTGAAACCTAAATATGTCCGGACCGAGTTGTAGAATCTGATCAAGATGAGTCAGGATTGATCAAGTTGCTCTTATTTAACTACAATCTCAGAATCTAGTGAAAAAATAAACAATACCATAGAAGAAAATTTTACGACGTTTTTTCTTCATTTCTGCATATAAACTATTCCATCTAACGTCGCCTCTATTCATATCCTGCAGGCATAACACCCCTTTGCAGTCTGCATCCCTCATCACTCTATTTCAACCAAATAAAATATAAATCATAGACTGAAACTATTCAGTGAGCAATCAAGCCCAGTACGCACAACTTGTTTGCTGTGTAAGATCAAGATGCGTCAATGAGAATAAAATTACTACAGAACTATCCCTAAAAGCTGTGATGTTTTTAATTTAAGAATTAAACTAAAATACTTTCTTAGGTTGGACCGATATTTTGTATAGAAATCTTCATCATTCATTTTGGTTGATTTTTCAGTCATCATTCTTATTTATGTAATTGTTTGTTTTCTTTAGGATAAAAATAAATATTGTTTTTAATTATGTTTGATATTTTGTTGCAGATTTGAAATCATAAATGTGACAGTGGATTTCTGGACGGATACAATTAGGTAGGTTTACACCAGGTGCGGAACTATACATTTTGTTGAGGGTGGCGGGGCAATAAAATGTGTATTATACTCAAACAATAAAAAAGGAACCTTGCCAACCGGATATTCAGTAAGTCAACACATCTGATATGAAATAAAGAAATATATTCTGGTTTATATAAATCACAATATTAATTAATTTATATATATATTCATTTTTCATCCATAAATCAAATATGTACATTGTACTCAGACACTAACAATAAATGCCTTTCTAAAAAAAATCATGATTTTACATTAAAAAAAATTTATATGACACATCACACAATATTTTCGGTGAACATGTAGGATTAATTTAATAGTGTACAGTTGAACTACAGTATATTGATTGAACTATAAGCTCAATAAATTTTTATTTTATTCTTAAAGGAGGGGCACGCCCCCCCCCTTAATCAGGCTAGGGGAGGGGGGCCTTGCCACTAGTTTCACAACGAAGATGTTGGCTAAAATATATTTGGGATTTTGGAAAGGTCATCTATGTTGGTTCATTTAATAACTAGAACATTAAGGTATTAATTTTAAAACATTGGTCTTCAGCTTAAATTTGCCATTTTACTGTACTCTGTCTCATTTAATGTAGTCAAAAGTCATGTCTGGAAATTAGGGTGAATTTTGTGAAATTTATTAATCGGATCCATCCTCCACTTGCCTTAAGATTTTTTATTCTTTAAAATAGAAAGTTTTTATATAAAAGCTTAAGGATAAAGTAACTAAACAATAAGTTAAAAAAAATAATAATCGACCTGCCTAATATTTTATGAATTATTTGATCGTTATTAAATTAGTTTGAGACTTTCATTTGTGTTCTTGTGAATGTTGCTTGTGAGATTAGATTTCTTAAGTCCACCGAGGGAGGGAATCCCGAACGCAATGAGCCTCCCCCCTGCCGACACGAGCCTCCTACATTTGCTAGGTGGACCGAGCCTCCACTACACAGCACAGGTTCCTTATAGCTCTTGGTTTTTACATGTAATATAGAATTTTTAAAAGTGGCACAAGAATTTTATTAAGATTAATGTTGTTTGTTGATTGTCATGATTTGTAACTTATATTGATTCATAAAGTAGTTTATAATATGTATGTTTTACAATAAAACATTGCTTACGCAAAAAGGAGGCTTTATGGAAATTCATTTCTGAATATTTTAGGTTAAGCAATACCTTTTTGGAATTTTTTAGATTCAGATTATTTGTCAATGTAAAAGTTTTGATAATCTTAATCTGATAAAAATTTCAAGAAAAGGTATGGCTTAAATCAAAGATTATAAAATATCAAATAAAATAACTAGAATTTTTTCTCTAAATGTTTATGTTTTATAAACCACTTTACTACTCATAATTAGTCACTATTTTTAAATAATTGATTTTACTTCTGATCTGATGAGGGAAGAATGGGATGAAGCAATAACCAGGGGGGGAGGGATGGGATGAAGGGTGATAAACTTCTTATGTCACTATTGCCAAAAAAGTACAAAAGTTCTTTACAACGTGTAAAAACCAAGAGGGAAACTATTCTTTATAGCGGAGGCTCGTTCACTGTATAGCGAAGGCAAGGCTCTTACTGCATGGCGGAGGCTCGGTCTACCTAACAAATCTGGGAGGATCGTGTCTGCATAGCGGAGGCTCATGGAATCCGGGGTTCCATTACTCGTCCACCAATATGTTTAAGCGAGCATTAACCTTGAATACGATAAAAATTAGCATGTAGCTTTGTTTTATATTTAAAAATGTAGATTCTATAAAAAATCCTAGGAAAAAGTCTTTAACTAAAATAGAACCATTCCCTTCAGAAACTTGACAAATTAGGTGAAGGAAAGGTTATTGAAAATCGACGAAGCAATGATTATTTCTTTCTAACTTTTATTTTATACAATTTCCTTTCAAAATTTTTGTTCTCCTGTTTCTTAATAAGTCATAAATTTTGATTGTGGACAAAAGAATTCTAGTAAAAAATATTAAGAATTGGGTTTATGACGGAAAGGGGGATATTTTATCCGGAAAACAAAACTTTTGATGTAGTGTCTAATGTAAAGGAGACTTCAATACAGTACTTGTCTTAGATGCAGTTGAGAAGATTACAGAATTTCAGGCAGTTATATAAATACTTACATACTTCAGGTACCCACGTCCCACATATTATCTACATGGTGTTTTATTAATCTTTTCAATTTTAATTCTTCCATGCTACAGTTAAAACAAGCAATGAATATTTTTTCATACCTTATCATTACAAATCTCTATTACCGCTCAGGCTACTTTGCCTCAAAATTAAGAAAATACGGCATAAAAAGGAAAGTTAAAATATGAAGAAAAAAGTTTGCCATAATAATGTTTATAACAATAAGATTCTTTTTTGGGGGTGGTTTGGTGCCATTTTTTCAATAGTTTTTTGAATCTCTAAAGAATGAGTGTTGAACACTTTTTTTCTTGTTTTTGGTGAGATAAATCACAAACTTTAAAATGGGATAAATCACAAACTTTAAAATGGGATAAATCACAAACTTTAAAATGGGATAAATCACAAACTTTAAAATAGATTTTTAGACTTTAAAGTCAGGGCAAAAAAAGGTTCCACTAGAACTCGCCTAAATTTCCTTTACTAATATGCTTACAATGGTGTGATGAACATCCTGTTATGTTTTTAGCTGCCCATAATTGCCCGTTTTTATATCAAATCACAAAATTAAATATTTTTATTTCATTTAGATACTTTGTGTTCCTTGTAGAACATGATCCTTGAAGGATAATTGAAAGAAAATATGGAGACCAAACTTCGATTTGATTGATAAACAACTACTTTAATTATTGAACTATGGGTGCAAATACTTAAAAATTAAATAAAAGTTGTTTTTGTTTAGACTGTCAGTGTCAAACTTGTTTTTTTTCAATTTATTTTTTAAGGTACCAAGAACAATTTACGAGTTTATCTTCGCAGAATGGTCTAGATTTCTTGATTTTTTTCAAGTATAAATTTTCAACTCGCGTTTGAGGCTTTCCTAAAATATAAGCAAAAAAATTGGCTTCAATTTGTATAAATGTTTATTTTAGAGATGAGTGTCGAAGAATCTAAGAAGAAAGCGGCATTTGCTGCAGTAGACAACCATGTTAAACCAAACCAGGTGTAGTAAACCTCCGAAACTTTCGAAATTACTTAAAAATCATATCGCCAACGGATTAACTCTCAAGAAAAGATAATGCTTTTAAAAATTCCAATTTATTTGATGTGTTTAAGATTGTGGGGGTTGGAAGTGGTTCTACCATTGTATACGCAGTCCAGCGGTTAGCCGCAAGGGAGAAGGAAGAAGGATTAAACATTAGGTAAAATCTTTTTTGTCGAACTTTCGGTCAAGAAATGATTATTTTTATAATTAATCCTTTTCTGATCGGTAGCTGGATTTTTTTACTGAAATGTTTTCTTGATTATCTCATTGTTTGATTGTTAGTCTGATTTTTCTAATTTCTTGATTGCCTCATTGTTTGAGTGTTAGTCTGATTTTTCTAATTTCTTGATTGCCTCATTGTTTGAGTGTTAGTCTAATTTTTCTAATTTCTTGATTGCCTCATTGTTTAAGTGTTAGTCTGATTTTTCTAATTTCTTGATTGCCTCGTTGTTTGAGTGTTAGTCTGATTTTTCTAATTTCTTGATTGCCTCATTGTTTGAGTGTTAGTCTAATTTTTCTAATTTCTTGATTGCCTCATTGTTTGAGTGTTAGTCTGATTTTTCTAATTTCTTGATTGCCTCATTGTTTGAGTGTTAGTCAGATTTTTCTAATTTCTTGATTGCCTCATTGCTTGAGTGTTAGTCTGATTTTTCTAATTTCTTGATTGCCTCATTGTTTGTCCGATTTAATGATCGGTTTTTAAGTCTGGTTTCGTAAATAGTCATAGTTTTTAATAGGATAATTTTTCAATTTGTAATCTAATCAAATTACGAAAAATTGATAGTTAGTTAATTGTGTCATTGTCAATTGATGCTTGATTGATTGATTGTTGATTGAATTATTTTAAGATGTGTTCCTACCTCCTTCCAGGCCCGTCAGCTAATCCTAGATGCCGGTCTCAACCTTTCAGATCTAGAACGGGAATCTCAGGTAAATATGTTTATTGCAGTCGTAATGCCAGAAGATTGGACTGCTTGTCGTCTTCATTTTTGATTAAGATATCTTGTTAAAATTGATGTCTAGTTTTATTTTTCAAATATAACTTAAAGTGTCACAGATTCAATCAGGGGCTTATTCAGGGGGGCTATGGGGGCTAAGCCCCCCCTGGACCAGTAAACTCTATTGATTTCAGGGGGTTTTCAGGCCACAACGGGTGCTGAGCCCCCCCTGGAAAGAAAAAAAATTTAAGCCCCCCATGAACAAATTCCTGAATACGCCCCTGGATTCAATATGACATAATTATGGTCAGATCATTATTTACAAAGACTGAGTCAGAGAAGTTAGATTTTCTTAACAAAATCAATTTAATATTTTCTCTAGATAGATATAACTATCGATGGATGTGATGAAAGTGATGTAAACCTAACCCTGATCAAGGTAAAATTATTAGAAATAATTTCATATTTTTTTTCTTCAATATTTATTTTGTAGGGTGGTGGGGGATGTTTAACCCAGGAGAAGATAGTAGCTGCTAACTCCAGGGTAATCAAATATATATTTTTTCTGTCTGTCTGTCCGATCATAACTCATAAACCCCGATAACGATTTGTTGTAAATTTTGGTCGGGAACTCAATAGAACAACGGTAATGTTCTCAGGGAAAACTCCAGGCAAAGCTGAATTCCCGAGCTAGTTATCAAATAAGTTCTTTATTTTACATAAACCTTTTTAGATTCACTATTTCTTGAGTAAAATTTATTTATGCAGTAAAGACAAGCTATATTAAAGTCGAGATTTATCTCATTCCAAATAAACCGACGAAATTACTATCAATATTTTTCATTTTTTCCATCAATTCCATTGATCAGTGAATTAAAAATTATTTTTATAAACATTTTCTTTTAGGAGTTTGTTGTAATCGCAGATTACAGAAAGAATTCCGCTTCTCTAGGTGAGTTTTTAAGGACGTATTTTTATCTTGATTATTATTCATTCATTCATCATCCTTGCAGATATTTTATAAACAGCTTGGATCAATTAATATTTAATAATTATTATTATTATAGATTTATTTCGTACACAAAGGTAAAATGGTACAATATGATAAGACAAAAACAAGAATAAAGTATAATATTTAAATATATTTTCTAGTCGGAACATAAAAAGTTGATCATGGTTGCGATCTCATTATCATCAAAGTTTTTTAGAACAAAATTATCTTCTTTAACTTTAAGTAATTCATGAAGAATGAGTAATTTCCATTCTTGGTCTAAAGGAATATGGTTGTTTATCAAATTTTGTTTTAACGCAAAATTTGTTTAGATTTCTAGATTGTACATTACAATCTTGTGCAATAGATTCAAGATTTTTACATAAAACAGTTCTTAAACCCTGTTTACTTAGATCTACTAAAAGTCGAATACATAGCTTATGACAATTTGATAAATTGGTCACAAATTGTACAAAACGAGTGCATAAAACTGGTTTAACATGAGGAACATTAGAAATGGGCTCAATGAAAGATCAAATAAAAGTATCGAAATCTTGATTTGAAGATTATCTGATTTTTACACTGAAAATGTTTTTGTAACAAATACATTTTTTTATATTTCTTATATAATTCCAAGATAAATATGCTTTTTGCTCGAAATTATGGACGCCAACGGTAAAAGTTCAGTTTTTTGGGAATTTTAGTAATATGGGTTTTATTAAAATATCTAATTCAACGATAACTTTAAAAAATATTCCAGGAGAACAGTGGAAATATGTTCCTATTGAAGTTGTTCCCTTTGCATGGAAGCAGGTTCCTGAATTATACTAAATACATTATTCTGTTTTTTGTTTTTTTCAAAATATAATTCTCATTTTATGTATTTTATCCCGTTTTAAAACTTATCTCGTTTCTGTTTCCGACTTCAAAATAACCATCTTTCTTAGGAGGTGGGTTATTGCTTTTTTCTTCTCTTTTTTCATTTGTCTGAATTTTTGTCTTTAAGGTTAAAAGTAAAATAGAACAGGAATTGGGCGGAGAGGCGAAATTGAGAATGGCTAAAGCAAAAGCAGGTTAGATATTGAATACCATTACTTTTAATAAAGCAAAGCTTCAGGGTCAGTCTTAACATAAAAGGTTATAATTTTGTGCGGAATTGCTAGTTCGACTTTACGACCTCCTAATTTCTCTTTTTTTAATTCAATGGTAAGAAATTCAAACTTGTTATGTTGCATAGCCTGAGCGTTGTTTGAAATAATGCACAATGTTTACTGTTCAATATTAATTGTATAAACATTAGTTTGATGTGAAGCATTTCCTATTTTTTTACAATGCACAGTATCAGTATATAATACATATTCACTAATTTGTATTAAACATTTTTAAACCTTTAATTATCCTGTAAATGTCCACCCCTTATAGTTTTACTAAACTTTAATCTCCCATGTTTAGGGCCTGTAGTGACGGATAACTCAATGTTTCTGTTAGACTGGTATATGGGGGACCAGGCAAGGGACTGGTTTACTGTCAATCAGAGGATAGTTACTATTCCAGGTAACACAGGGGAATATATTTTTTTTAATAATAATGTTTTTTTAGGGGGAGGGATTAAGAAATGGGCTTCATTTTGAAAGCTTTCACATCTTTTTAATATGCTCTCTCCATAAACCCTAATATATTCAGTGCTTAAACTGAAATATTCTGGTTTAAAAAAAGTCATATTCAGAAAGACCCGGAATTATTTTACAATTAATCAGACGACTTTACATTATAATTTTACAAATATGATTTATGAAAGATAATCAATAAAAAAATAGCCCTAGTCCAGCCAATTCTAAAATGTGGACTGCCTTCATTGTGCATTTAAAATTACCAGGGATTAAATATAATCTATATAATAAAACAGAGCTGAAAACTTTAGAATGTGATATCCTTAATCTTGCTCTCTTAATTAATCTGAAGATTAAAAATGAGAGGAGAACAAGCCATATTTAATCTGGATATTAAGAAAAAGAGTGGATTAAGCCTTAATCCCGATATCTACCATTCTAAAGTTTTCAGTTCAGGACATTTATATATATCTTCTTAAAATAAGTTCAGAACATTTTCTTTTGTTTATTTAATTCATTTTATTGCTGGACATATGTTGGACATTCTTGAGCAGCAATATTCGTATATATATATGTTGCGTAAAGCCGGCCAAACGGCTGGACCGATTGGGCTAAAAAAAATTGTTTTCACTCACGGGTGGCGGGGTGTTATAGGCTAAAAAATTTGAAATTTTTTTCAAATTTTTTTTACGGGCAATGCCGGGCCTTCGTAGTAATATATATGTAAAGTCATCTGATTAATTAATTCCGGGTCTTTCTGGTTATGAATGTATAAAAATATCAACATTTTAAACCAAATTTTGGGATTTCCAAAATGAGGTTTGCCTTATTTTCGTAGATTTATTCATTTATTCTACTTTTTTAATTTAGGAGTTCTGGAGACTGGTTTGTTTGTAAACATGGCGCAGAAAGCGTACTTCGGGCTGGAGAATGGAACAGTTCTGGAAAAAGCAAAACCAGTTTGAACCCACATGTAGATTCACCTGCTTCAGTGTGTAGTAGCTATTCCCAATAAAACCCGTTCTTCCGCTAGCTGTGAATGCATTTATGCCACGTTTTAATTCTCAATACTCATGTATATGAATTTTATTTACAATTGAAATATATTTTTGCAAAGCTTCTAATCTTAGAACATGATTAATAGTTGCATCACAATTGAAAGGTTCAATCCGTTATAAATACATAAAACCATAAAAAGAATCTTGCAATACATAAAACCATAAAAAGAATCTTGCAGTCAACCAAAATCAAGAACTGAAATCGATCGACTAGTTCGTCTCTGAAGTTTATAAAAATAACTCTGTATCTTATAATAGAACTCTTTACGCCTTGAGGCAACTTATTTAGAATTTGACCAATAAAAATATTATGATTTTTTTGGCTAAAATATCAGAATTCTATTTTTTAGAGGTACAAATTAATTTCCACAGTTGACTAATCCCGCTGATAATCTTAATCTAGACCAATTCTTCAAGATCATAAATATTGAATTTTTCTGATTACAGAATGAATTCACGATTTCTAATTATAAAAGATCAATATTTGACTGAAGAAAGTTATAGCTATTTAAAAAAGAAGTTGAATAATTACCATGATTGTTAAAAAATATGATCTTTTTAGCTTAATGTCTTAGACCGTAACAAGGTTCTATAGCAAGGTTGGTTAATCCCGATGCACTCCAATGTAAGGAAAATGTCGTCTGCTAAGATAGATGGATACAAACCTTGGGTTTAAGTTGCAAAGATATAGAGATTGGAAAGTTACAGTTTGTGGTAATGGCTAGCTGCAGAAAACATCCAAAAAATTCATTTATTTTTATTTTCAAAATTAGCAAAAGTATGATTGAAGGATGGACAATCAAGAAGAAAGAATGAAAAACAAGCAGGGGCGTACGAGGGGGGGGCCGCGCCCCCCTCTACGCGTGCCCCCCCTGAGAGGTTGAGGGGGGGCACCCATGGGGTAGGCTCTTTTAATATTACATCTGCTTGCATTTCACTTCCTCAGGTCAGGCACTGTGGTGTACCTAGGGGGGGCAGTAGTCCTTTTGCCCCCCCCCCTGGGAGTTCCAAAAATACAAAATTGCACGGATTGCACAAGTTTTACGAAAAAAAAATTGCAAATGTTTTGCAAACAACCTGTCAAAGGAAATTTGCACATTTTTGGTTTTTCTTGATTATAAATCAGGTTATTTAAATTTGCAAGACTTTTTGCATATCTGAAATGGCATGGTCAAGGGCTTTTCAAAAATGTATAATTTTTCATTTTTTGGACAAATCTTTGCAAATTTTTTTGCAGATTCTAAAAGTAAAGCACAAGAGCTTTCTGATGATGTATCATTTGTCATATTTGGACATAAAACATGGGATTTAGAGGGGGGGTGTCAAATTGACCCCCCCACCAGCATATCCTGGTTTTCAAGTACCCCAGCAGGGATAGGGTTAATTAAAATTGTGCCCCCCTAAACAAAGGCCCTCGTACGCCCCTGAAAACAAGAAATATAGAAGTCTCAAAATGTTTCCATCTGATATCATATTGAAATTTAAAAATATGGTAAAATTTAATTAAAATAAATAATTAAAGTTAGAAACAGTTTGCGGTAAAAGTTAAATTCCGTAATTGAATGCATAATACAATTTTTTAAATATTAATTATTTTCAGAAACCCGGAAACATTAATTTCACTGATAATCTCTGAAACAATTATAAATGAAATCCAGAAGCTTCACCGATTTTAATCTTTTATAGAATATATTAAAGAATCCGTAATGGTCGTCATTATTAGTCTCATTCGTTGTGAGTAACCCTGGCAAAGGATGGTGCATCTTTCGACTTACGCAAATCCGACCTTCTAGCACGTGGTTTTACAGCGGCTAGATGGACTTTGGCCGCAGCGAACAGCCCAGAAATTGTTTTAACCTAACCTAAGTTCTAACCCTCAAATAATACAAAAAAAAAACAGCTGACGTAGGTCCGATATTGCAGTAGGTCGGAAAGTTAGTAAGTCAGAAGTTCAGTACGGGGATAGTGCGTATAGACGATGTAACATTACCACGGCAAAGAGAGAGTTTATGTAAGAAATTGATAAATATATTTCTCCATATCTACACGTCCTATAGGAACCTATATGGAAGATATATTTATACAGTCCCGTATATGGAAAAGTGTAAACAGTTCTTATATGAGGGGGGGGGGGGG